GAGGACAGGATGAGAGGTCTGTGGGGAGGCGCGGGTATGAGGACAGGATGAGAGGTCTGTGTGGAGGCGCGGGTATGAGGACAGGATGAGAGGTCTGTGGGGAGGCGCGGGTATGAGGACAGGATGAGAGGTCTGTGTGGAGGCGCGGGTATGAGGACAGGATGAGAGGTCTGTGGGGAGGCGCGGGTATGAGGACAGGATGAGAGGTCTGTGGGGAGGCGCGGGTATGAGGACAGGATGAGAGGTCTGTGTGTGATGCATTTTCATCATATTACAGCCGGTACTTGCTTGGCACACACTGTTTGAAACTTATGAACTGTTTATTTCTGGAATTTTCCAATTTTTTATTCGGACTGCGTTGGGTAACTGAAACTACGGTTATGTGGGTCACGCTGTAACTGAGAAGGTCAGACTGACTTGTAAAGGTCAATCAGAATGAAGAGTACGCTGGAATCCAGCTTCACCCCCCGTGTCAGATCGAGGAAATCTTCCTGACATCCACAGAGGATGAACACTGCACAAGAAGAGCAAAAACATCTTAGTGTGTCAATGTACTTGGGTCTGTCAGAGGAAGGTATTTTCTGTGCTGTTTTGCTGGCCGTTTGGACCTTGGAGAAATGAGAGGGGCATCAAATACTCTGCAAAGGAAAACACTTGGGGCCTGCTGGGTGTCGATGGAAATGTAGCACTTTCCCTATCCGGTCCTTGGGGACCCACAACCAGTCCACATTTTTGCTCCCTCCCAGCTCCCTGCAGCAAATATGTGGGTGGACTGTCTGGCAGGGAACTGGGATGGAGTAAAAACATGGACCGTCTGTGGGTCCCCAAGGACCGGACTGGTAAGCACTAAAATATAGTGATAGAGGCTTATACATACAGTTGCTTTCCCTGTCTTTCTTCTGTAGTTTCTCCTTCACCTTCTCCTTTGTTCTCAGTATTTCCTTGCTGATTGAGTTGTCAAAATCTAAAGCATTAATATACCTGCATTTGATACAAAAAAAAGCATGTGATGTCGTCACCTGTTTCCATGTGTTGTACAGAAATCAAGGGAAGGCATGTTCCCCTTACAAGTGCTCAGGTGCGCATGAAGCATTCATACAGAGATCCCAGCATCCCCAAAAAACACATGGTTTACATATCACTAGGTGGAGTGGTGGCTCTGAGGCTGGGGATCTATGCCAGCAACTGGAAGGTTTCTGGTTCAAGTCCTGAGAATGCCAGGAGTGATCCTACTCCATTGGGCCTTTCAGCAAGGCCCTTAACCTGCACTTGCTTCATCCTGGGTGTGACGTTATTCTACACTATAGCCCTGCAAGCAGGTCCTCCAACTTACAGGGAAGAGCTTGGGGTTTCGTGGCAGGATTGGCGCTCCAGCCACCAGAAGATAACTCACACTGGTCCATTTGGACTAGGGTGGTGCTGAGGTATCACCTGCCACACAGCTGCACTCGGGTTCTCATCCCTGAGGTGGTTTGTTGTGTGGTGGGAGCAGCATCGCGCTGTAATCAGTTCCTGCTCCTCACCTTACTTATTACTGAACCTTAGACAAGAAGTACGCTTAGATCTTTTATTTTATCTATTTGGGTCAATTATTGTTAGCAGTGCAAACATTCTTCAACCTTTGGACCAGGAAACTTCAATCCTAAACTTCTGCCAACTTAAAGGACTACAGATTAAGCTGTCAGCTTAATTTTAATTATTATATTGAATGTTCACTTATCCAGTGTGGCCTGAAAATCACATTTTCCTCCCTCAAAGCTGAACTTCTTTCGGATTAAGAGCTCACACAGACAGCCTTTACAACATTGGTCTCGAAACACCTCGGCGCTGTCATAAAATACCATAAATCGCCACTTTATGATAATTACCCAAAGGGACAGACTGCGTTGGCAAGCATGCGAGCTGGGACCTCACCAGAAGCAGTCCTCTGTGTTGTCAGGCTTCTTGTAGATGAAAACGGTCTCCCATCGCGGCTTGAGGCCCGGGTGAGTGAAGTTCCAGAAGTACACGAAGAAGCTGGAGATCTTGCGCGCCGGGGGCAGAATCCGGGTGAGGTTGCCCTTGTAGTCGCAGGACAGGCCGAAGCTGCCGGCCGAGATGATGGGGATGCTCAGGTTTATCCCGACCTCCGCGCTGAAAGACGCAAACGGGAGCCGAAGTGCTGGTCAGCAAACGGAGCTCAGTCAGGCTGCACCACCGGCTTCCTGGCTTAGTCAAAAGCACGTATTCAGAAAACATGCCCATTAAAACACCTTTGTTACTCTGAGACTTATCCCAACACACTGCTGTAATCACTGATTGATGCATCAAAATTTATTTACAACTTTTATTACTTATCCTTTACATGATATACTGTAATAATTCCAAGGGCAATCAAAATGCAAAAAATCGATACAGGGGAAAACTAAAAAAATATTAAAGCAGCCCTATTATTCGTATTTTCTCTGTTCATGATTTTATTTTTGGGTCCTACCAGAATAGATTTACATAGCTCAAAGTTCCAAAAAAGCATTGATTTTTATCATACTGTACATCTCTATTCACCCTCTGTCTAAAAGACTCTGTCTGAGCTTTAAGCCCCACCCCCAATGAGCCCTTTGTGCTCTGATTGGTCAGTTCGCCCAATTGGTCCACTTGCCCTGGAATTTCCGCTCCTGTCTTGCAGCCTGCAGCCAGATGCTATTGTGCAGACTAGTGATGTGGTTATCCGTTACTTTTGAGTAATCGTTACTACCGAGTACTCGGCAGTCTAGTATACGTTACTTAATACTCGTTACCCAATACTCATTACAACTTGGGTTGACTATGCATACAATAATGAATGCTGCTACCTATACTGTACCATATAGTCCGTAAGCCTACAGCACTTTGCAGCGTCGCGTTAGTGTGGATAATTTGACACATGATGCTATTGCTGATTGTACGAACTTGCAATCACGATTGCTTTCTCAAAACTGAGAGCCTATATAAAAATATGGCCTACTGAATAAAGATTATAAAGAAAAATCTGAATGTTGTCATTTCTATTATAAATATTTATGCAATAGCTAGGTCTATTCTAACAGTTAAGTAACTATATAGGCTTATCATGCATCAACTCAAAAGTCAATGTGCTGTCAAGCTGCTATTACCTATTTATCATACAGTTTTGAACAAAGATCGTGGTTCTTGTTAAGGAACACGATCATTTGCACTTTTTCAGATGACAACAGTTGTTCTGACGAGTTGAGCTACCTATCGAAACGTGCTATCGAGCCTTTCTGCACATGTGCAGTTCCAGGGTTAGGTTTTAGGGGTTAGGGTTAAGGTAAGGGTTTTAGGGGTTTCTGGGGGGTTGGGGTTAGGGTTAGGGTAAGAGTTAGGGTTATCGATTAGCAGTACGATAGTCTAACTCAACAAAGTAGCTCAACTCGACAGAACACCGGGTACGTCTCTCGTTACTGGCAAGTGCCGATTGGGCGGTTTGATCAGTCATTTAGTTACTGTCAGCAACGAATCATTGAACGGCTGAATACTCGTAACGATTCGTAACAGCCTTGTATTCATTACTTACTTACTCGTTACTACTCAAATCTACACCACTACTGCAGACAGATCCTTGCAGGTGTCACGAAGTGACCTCACCATGTCACTGATATAAGGGCTGGAATTCCAACGCAGAGTTTCAGGCAGATTAGTGATGAGTGGCTTTTGTAGTGAGTTAATTACCCCCTTTGGTGTGTACTTTTGGCCTTAGGACTTTGCAGACCATTTACATGCACAAAAAGCTGTACAACACACTAAAGGAAAGGGGAAAACCAGAAAAGCATAATATGCCCCCTTAAATTGGTTCTGTTGGGAAAACAGGTGTAGAAAATAAATATAATTATGCCTGGACTTGGCTATAAGTGCTATGATACTGTTAAATCAATAGCCGTATATGCGGATTTATGGTATTTTACGACAGCGCTGAGGTGTTGTAAAACGGCGTAAAGGTCGCCTGTGTGAGCTCTTAATTTGAAAGAAGCTGGTCCTGGGAAGTTGACTTGTTCTCAAATGAAACAGCTTCATATAACTCTTTTTTGGTACTTGTTCTTACATTTTTAAATCAAGTAATACTTTACCCTCTTTAGCTGTTTCCCAGTTGGCAGATCGGAAAATATTGCAGCAAGGCTAGAAAAGTCAGTGAGAACGATGAGAGGAGAAGACAGAAGGAGGAAGGCAATAAGGTGTGAGAGGTGTGAGAGAGAGCGACGCGTCGTAGGACTCACTCGACGAGCTGGAAGGTGGCGTACGTGCAGGACGGTCCCAACATGGCGCAGCCGACCTCGTTCTGTTTCTGCAGCAGACGCGGGAGCACACGATATATGCTAAGACACGCCAAAAAGATCCCGTAAACGGTACGCTTTATATGGAATTCCAACTATGGGGCATGAATAAAAACGACAAGCCTCTTTTGGGTTATGTCTTTCAAAGAAGTTTCATTAATTACTGCAAAACACCAAAGAACAATACATTTAGAAAAATCCAGCCTATCCCAGGTTACATAGGGAACAATTCTGGTGTGCACCACCAATGCAGACCATGTCTGCATACACATTAACACATTACTGGTAATTCAGAAATTCGCCTGTTGGCAGGCAATAGATGGACGTCTATGCATTGTAGGGAGATCCCTGATTTGGATTTATACCGCTGCTGAACGTGACAGCGTAGCGGCACATATTATAACACAATTTAGAATCTGTTCCTACTATAATTGGTACTCCTACTTACAATCAGCTCCTTTAATATGCCCACGCCCCCGCAGGCACTGCTGGGACACCCCTTGCGTGTGTACAGGGAGGTGTTGAACCCACGATAGTTAGCAGTTAAGCTGAAATTCACACCTAAAAAAAGTACGTACAGAAGAGATGGTCAGTCCAGTTAAATGTTGATTTCATTTGGTACCTACCTTTCCAATCGTGCTATGAAAAGTGTGTGTGTGTGTGTGTGTGTATACAGTACTGTGCAAAAGTCTCTGGCTGTCAAAAACGATGTTTAAGTGGTCCTCATGTTGCTTTAAAACTATGATATCGTGTTTGTCAGTTTAGTGTCAGATAAGCAGACCTTATACATGTCAGCGTAACCATTTGAAAACTTCTCCTAAAGTCACCCCAGTATTTTCTGCAACCGTCCTATATACCCGTGTAATTTTGACCATGTTTAGATAATCAATATATGATTCAGTAATTAATAAAGTTAATTAATTTAGAGAGCTGGCGGTGACATTTATTGAATACATGGAATGGCTGAGGTGCCCTTGAGGAGAGGTTTGGGTACTGAAACAGTGATCTTCTAGCAATCATACAAGAACAGGAGAAATTCTCTTTAGATTTTATTGTTTTACTGTTCGTTTGCATATGCGCTACTGTTAAATTGTTTTTTTTTCTGAGCAGCTATACACTTACTGCCAAGATAAATAGCTTTGAACAATTTATTTGAGTGCCTAAAACCTACAGTCAAATAATATAATATACATATATGCACACACACACACACACACACACACACATATATATGTATATATATATAATTGTCACCTGCTGCCGCGTTTAGTTCTTTGTCCTTTTCGATGGCGCTATCCACCGCTAATTCCACGTCCTTCATACTCCACTGCGAGCCGTCATCGTCCTCCAGCAGCACGACATTGAGGATGTACGTGGAGTTGAGACAAGCCAGGTTGAGCTGCCTGCCGAGGGCCGCCGGAGCGAAGACGCACAGAAACCAGCAGGCGCCCGGCATCTCCGCTGCGAGACGCCGCTCACTGCCGCTACTGCTGATGCTTGTGGAGGAAAAAAAACAGATACACAACGTTATCAGAGATGCATGTTTTAAGTATAAAGTAATAAAATAAAAAAATAATAATTATTATTTTTTTAATAATATAAAATGTTAGCTATGGGTATAATTAGGGTACTAAAGTTTTCGTTTAAAAGCTGCCGAGTAAATTAATTGTTTTGAAAATGAATTTAATTTCACGAAACTTTAGCCATTCAAATTAAATGTATTACATGTTCCAACCAATATCTGCATGATTTAATTTATCATTTCCCTTTACAATCGTTACCTTCGAGAAGGTAGAAGAGATCCAGTTTACTTCGCAAATGTTTAAAAAATCGAGTAAGCGCTGTAGACGAGGAGTAAATATGAACGATGTCTCATGTACTGTATTCTCATACAGGTGGAATAAGAGCGTTTCATTTTATTGCCCTGTTTTGATGTTTTTGACTCGTTAATGAACAACCGAAGGCAGGGGAAATTTTGAGGAACAAGGATCAGGAATAAAAGTGAAATTGAAATAAATCATAATGTATACATGAAAGACCAATTTGCATTAATAATATGAAAGTAGATAGTTACGCCCTTATTGCATGCTTAGGCTATATGTAGGCTATATTTATACAGTTAGCGTAGTGTAAAAGTGAAGCGCATTTGTACGCTAATGTAAATGAATATGAGAGCAGGTAAGAAGAAATAAAGCTGAAGGAGCAATGATCTGTACGAGAAAATTCTCTTAGAGACTGCAATTGGTTTAATGTTAAATTAAAATGAGCATGGGAAAGAGAGAACAAATAAGCCCGAAATGACTATAAAAAAGAACGACAGCGCGAATTAGCGCAGGGATTAAGGCGTCAGCATGCAGTCGCCGTAGTGGGACAGCTAAACAAAGGTTCCTGGAGCTGAAAATGAAGGAAGGCGACTGTCAGATAGTCAGTCTTATAATAATGTTTCTCACTCACATTTACATGTAGCTTATATTTACACGGCGAATATTTAGGCACATGACACATCTGGGAGGTTTAATAACAAGGGCTCCTACTACCGGTGGCTGCAGGGAGACTAGCAGCGAAGATCAGCCTCGGCGTTTACCGTCCTGTGGGTCCATTGACCCTAGAACTGTTTATTTCTTATGAGCCATTGTCACGACCTGTGCGGGATTCTCTTAAGTTTTTGTACTGCTTGTAGTAGGGAGGTGTTCTTGTGAGTAGCCTATATTAAAATGTCCCGCAGCAGCAGAAACTAAAAAATAAAAGCTAATAGGAAAAAGTGCATCAAATACTCTGTTTACAGCGCCGTTTAACTATTTATTTCAATTCCGCAGTACAGGATTAGTGCTTGCAATGCCGTCGTTAGGTTCGATCATGGCGGCTCAGCTCTGAACTGTACAACTCGACACCCAAATTACATTTATTTCCACCACTTTGTCTCACATCATCACAGATTTTAAACCCAAGGCTGTTTGTTTTTTCCCCAGTTAGCAAGGCAGCTGCTTCTATTCCCACATCGCACGTTTGACCTTCTTACAATATTTGTATTGCTATACAGCAGCTAATATTTACTCTGAGAACTACTGGTTTAAAACATTTTATATACATATTTTGAATAATACAGTAATACAGGTCCCAAAGAGCTTTGCAGTGTATTTTTGATTTATTCAAAATAATTGTATTGAAATGTCACACAATTGTTTGCAACAAACAGCAGCTAGTTCATATGTTTGGGTACTTTGCAATCTATTGTGTGTGTGTGTGTGTGTGTGTATATATATATATATATATATATATATAGAGAGAGAGAGAGAGAGAGAGAGAGAGAGATTTCTAGTCTCCGGCTTGGTACCCCATCCTAGGTTGTTCCCTGCATTGTGCCCATAGGCTCCAGACTCTCCGTGACCCTGAATTGGACAAGCAGATTGAGAAATTGGATGGATGAATTTTAGTTCTCCTCTCTGCTGCTTTCTGTGATACTCTTATGCAAATTGATTTGTAATACAAAGGGAACCTGTTCTACATACTGAAGTCAGCTTCATTTTGTCTGCCCAGAGGTTTTTAGTTAAATTGTGGACTGCCAAGTTCAGAGTGAATGCCTGAGTGAATGCCTGTTATTCAGAGAAACACATTTAGTAAAAAATCATTTGTGTGTTCCAGACATCTAGACATCATATTTAAAAAATGACCACCTTTTTTTTGGGGGGGGGGGGTACTTTGTGTATAGTATAAAAACTTCATCAACTTCACCACAAGAGGCAGCAGAATGTCATTCACTCAGTCCCATTTTAAGTTCCCAAAGGCAGCCATATTTATAGCTTAGCCAGAATAAACAGTTGGAAGATGGATGGATATTTAGCTTCAATGCGTCAACAGATTCCTTGTTTTCATCCCATGCTGACATCTCTTAAACCCCAAAAGCAATGAAGTTATTTGAGGTCATTAGCTTTGCAAAGTAGCAGTGTTCACATTTGGCCAGTGAGTGCCTTACCATGCATTGTCTCTAAGCAGTCCTCCCGCTGAGAAAAAGACATGTACAAGGATTAAGATTTAAAGACTGTTCGAGGTCCCCAGCTATACTGAATCACAATTGTCCTTCCTGTTGTTCACATTTCAGCAAAATTCAGCAGCACCTGTGATGTTCCGGAACTCTTCAATGAAAACACCTGAAGGTGAACTTTCAATATTTGTCTGAATAGGGTTGAAAGGGTATTTGTCCGACATCTCACAGATGAAGTCCAGGAATTAGTTTTTTGTGGAATCTTTGTGAATCGTCCTCCCAAAACGTACAGTTAGACTAATTGGAGTAAACAGACATACAGCTGGTGTGTGTAAATGATGATTTGAGTGGGCATCTACCTGGTGAAGGACTGGCATCCCATCCAGGGAGGATTGTACTCCTGCCTCGTACCCCGTGCTGCCTGGAATAGGCACTGTCGCCCCCACAACTCTGAACAAGATAAGCGTAAATATAAAGTGATAATATTACTTGGAATATATTAATACTTTATAGAAATAATAATGCATATCTGGTGCTCAATTTTTGCTGCAGTTTTTTTTCTCCAGTCATTAACTGAAAGCATTTCATCCAGAGGCGCTCTGATCTTTTACCAAAATCTGGCTTCCTTGATGATCAGTTCGTTTCTTGCAACTAATTGGACCAGCGAATGTCAAAAGAAGATCACACAGAAAGTAAAGGCTGGCAGAGTCCAGTTCTGCTCATAATAATAAAAATTTATTTCTCATTATGATGATGCACCACCCATCACAGTGGACTGACCCAAAGAAGGTACTCTGATTTAACGGTAAAAACAGTCTCCCATTCAAGAAGTCACAATGGTATTTTTTCCCCAGTGAAAATCACCTTTAAACTAAGGACAGAATGGAAGGTACAAAAAAATGCATAGACAGTTCAAAGACATAAAATAAAAAAGATGGGAAAACATGCCATCTGAGCAGTTTAAATGTGTTTCCATTTGAAAATGTTTTCACAATATTTGTAGTTACTATTATCTATTAAAATATGAGATGGGAACTAATAGCACTTCACACCCTGTGAATTCCAGTGATTTACAAAGAATAAAAACATAATATTATTATAGCAATGCAATATTGCCTATTCTGCATCATTTGAAACTGAAGACGAGGGAGTTGTAGTCATTTGGGGCAGTGCTCACTATAGGCAGTCTTTTTACTACATTTCCCAAGTATATGTAATTTGCAGACAACTAAACTAAAGATCACTTTCACATTTGTTAGTGTAAACAAACAAATAAATAAACGTGAACACACAAATAAATACAGGTAACGATGTTTTTGCAATTTAGTAATTCAGGAAGGGACCTAATTTTCCTTTCACAGTAAAACATGTATTACATGGGTTCAGTTTTCATCTGCACTCCATGTTGCTTTTTTCCTTCTTTCCAGCCCTCTTTGAATCTATTTAATCACATAATGTAGTTATGCACCCACCCCCCCGCTCAGCTTTATGACACATTATGATGTCATTTCACACGTCACCAATTTCCTTCAATTTCCTTGCCATTAACATTAACAGCACAGGCCAGGACGTGAGTCTAGGAGCTGATTATCTGTCCAGACCATGTCTCATGCTTCGTCCCCGGGTTCAGGTGAGTGATGACCACCTCCACAGCTTGGATCTTCTGGTTCTTGGGTGGTATGGGGCAGACCTTATACGTCACCTCATCGCCCTCCGCTGGCACATACTCTCCCTCAATGCTGTGAAGAAAAGACACTGAAATACTGTGGATCACACGACTGATCCTTAACCCCTTATTCGTCCTTAAAAATTTCACTGTAATTCACCCAAGCAAGAATAACAAGCCCCAGCCGGCTCCTGCCGGTTTTCCCCAAGACTGTCACTCTGCTGATTTCAAGACCATAGTGTTGATACGCCCCCACCCACTCCCCCTATGGTCATATGCTGTAATATTTATTCTGCTCACAGTATTATTTATTCTGAATTTTGTATATATGTCTATAATGCTCTTTAGCTCATCCATTTACTTACTGTTGCTTTCTGTTCACGACAAATAACATTTTGTATATCTCAGCGCAGATGATAGATGGTTTTTTTCTGCAGCACTTCTAGTATCTGTACATATCTATATATTTCCATATATGGCAGACCCTATATACCTTTCTGGTCTTTTGTACATGCTCTACACTGCTGCACTTTACTGTGAATTATTACAATACTTTCTATAAATAATGCTATTCTTGCACTTCTGGTCAGCTGCATTTCATTAGCATTGAACTTGTACTCTGTGTGGGGATAGTAATGTAGAATCTGAACCAGACACCATCAGAACAAATTAAGACGGGTGACATCACGAATGGAGAGCCTTTCACACTCACTCAGATATATGGACAAAGATGTCCTCGCCACCGTGGGAGGGGCTGATAAAACCGTGGCCTTGTGACCTGGAGAAGTTCTTGCAGACGCCTTTGTACACGGGGCCTCTGTTGGCCCTCACCGTGCTGCAAAGAGAGGAGTGGCACCTCTGTGGGGGGGGGGGGGTCATACAGCGGGGGCACAGGCTCTCTTTAATCTACACCAGTGCTTCCGAATCCGGTCCATGGGGACCTACGGACTCCACAAAGAACTGGACTGTCTGGCAGGAAGCTGGGAGGGAGCAAAAACATGGACTGTCTGGGAGGGAGCAAAAACATGGACCGTCTGGAAGGGAGCAAAAACATGGACTGTCTGGGAGGGAGCAAAAACATGGACCGTCTGGGAGGGAGCAAAAACATGACCGTCTGGGAGGGAGCAAAAACATGGACCGTCTGGGAGGGAGCAAAAACATGGACCGTCTTGGAGTCCCTGAGGACCGGGTTGGGAAACACAATCTACGCAGCTCATGTACATTATGGGGATTTATATTGAAGGGGAAAAGGAGGACTTGCAACTGAAAGCCATGCAATTGTGTGCAAGAAATAATCATAATAATAATAATAATCGATACTTTATTGATCCCTGTGAGGAAATTGTCTTTACGCCTCCCTCAACTTACTCTTTGTAAAGTAAGCTGTCGGCGAAGGGCAGCCACCCTTAGCGGAGCCCAGGGAGCTGGGTGTGTATATATATATATATATATATGGGGTATATAAATGCGCTGCAGCATGCGATGCCGGTGAGGTACTCACGCTGAGTAGGTGCGGGTGCGCTTTGTTGGCAAAGGGCTAGGAAGCTCCCCAGGCTTGGGGGGAGCTCGTTCCCACACTCGGTTTCCCTCCCGCAGGGCAGGGAAGGAGAGGGACAGGGAGGTGGTGCGGGATGACCGAAGCTGGGACTCGGACGGGGACGACAGGCCGGGCTCCCCCATGGCGGCCGGACCTTCTGCGCCCCTTAATGCGTGTGTGATTGTATCGGTGTTTGTGAAAATCACTACTACTGGAGTGTGGCTTCACTGTTGCATCTGGCAGGTTCTTCTCAGAACTGGATGTCTCTCGGGTCTTTACTATCTATCTGCAAGAGGTCAGAATCTGCATTTCAGTTTTTCGGATGGATGTAGGTCGGGTGATTTTTTTCAAAGACATTTTGTGTCGTGGTTGTTTTTTGCTCTATGGGGCCCCCTACTGGTAAAACTGCCATTTGAATGGCATATTTCAATGGCTTTAATGAATGTAACCATGAATGCGTTGAGTAAATAAAAACAATTATATGAGAGGTGCATGTACCAAAGCATTTAACCTGAATTTTTAGAAAGTCAGCCCAGGTCATATAACTGAATGCGCCATTTAAGTTGACCTCAAAGGCAAAATATGGTTAACAGCAGTGAAATATTAGAAATTATGTTACTCTGATAATTCTGTGAAAATTTCAGTTCAGTGAGAGCTGATGAAACACAAAGGCAACCGTCGAAATAACATAAGCTTCCTGAACAGGCCAAGCGCCTCTATCAGTCTGTTGCACTTAAACTGATTGTATTTTATATATGTTGAATGTGAACAAAACTTATTTTTAGCTTGTGTCTGTCAGGCTGTAGAATATTTCCCCGAGTAGCTCTTTATCAAACAATCTATGTCTCAGATTTAATATTACATCACAAATATTACAAAATAACATTTTTTAATTCCTATAAAATGAATTCAAATAAATTAATGACATGTTGGGTATGGACTGCAACATTGCGGCAGTTGAGGTCTCCACCCACTTAGGGGGAAACATGACTATTGGGGGGGTTATATTGGCTGGATCCTAACCCCCCTGGAAATAACACCCATGACAGACAGACAGACAGACAGACACACACACACAAGGCATAACTTTGCATGGAACATTGTTGGGTTGAGGTCTTGGCCCATTACGGGGGAAACATGGGGGGGGGGGGGGTTGTATTAGCTGGATTTGATTATTGAGGGGGTGTAACCCTCCCCCCACCACCACCGTAATTTACGCCCATGATCGAGTATCTAAGAGACTATCACTGCCACTCCTCTTTGTAACTTTCACGGTCCAGATATCAGGGCACAGCTGTGGCCAGAGGTGACATCCCTGCTCGCAGATGGTGTCCTTCATTTGGCCTCATCCAGCACAGACCTCCAGCAGGCGAATTAGGGGTTCAATGCGGAGTGTGAAGCAGCAATGAGTGTCCGCACCTCCAAATCGGGTCGTGGTACCCTCACTGGAAAAAGTCAATGGCTCTTTTCAGGTAAAGGGGTACAAGAGTTCGCTGTGAGTGAAGCAGTTTAGGTACTTCGAGATCCCGTTCATAAATAGCAGTAAGAGGGAATATGAGATCAATCAATTGGTTCGGTGGTTCGAGAGCAGTAAGCTGAAGTGGTTCTGGCGTCTCATAAAGATGCCACCTGGTCAGCTCCCAAGCGGGCTGTTCCAGGCTTATCCCATTGGATGGAGGCCCCAGGGCAGACCCAAAACTCACTGGAGGGATTATTTCATTGAGCTGTATAAGGAATAGGCAGAGATCCCCCAGAACAAGTTACAGAGCCAGTGACTTTAGGGAGAGAGGTCTGGGAGGAGCTACTTGGCATAGTTACCTTTTTATTCTGAAAATTGAATTAAAAATAGTAAGATTCGTTGACAATAGAGTCATAGTAGACCTGTTGTGACCCTGACCAGGAAAGGCAGCTGGAGGAAGGATGAGCGGATATACCTTTAATTAGAGAAATCTTTGCATATACTACATTGCCTATCTTACACAGGCAACCAAAGGAGCGTCTTTAATAGCAGTGACTACATCATCTTCTCTCCCAGGGACAGTCTAAACTATGCAGTGACACAGACAGTTTCCATGTGCCAGAGCGCACTTTGATCTGACGTCAAAGCGCGCAGCGGAACGCGGATCCTCATAAACCTCTTACGTCACGGACGATTTTAATGCTGTATGAAATCTGATTAAACATACACCGCACTACCCTGCAGATAATCCAGCTACTTTACCCGACGGCCGGCACCAAATAACGGAAACAGCGTCGACAGAAAGCTGACACCTTATTTTATCATAATTAAGCACTGAACAATGAGGTTCACATTACGGAGCTTCTTGTAAGAAGCAGCGTCTGTGTTACTGGAATCTGTGCTCCGGAGGAGAGTAAAAAAAAACAGCTAGACAAAGACGATCATATTGAGATATACATTAATAAACAACGCTGTATAGTTACGCCACCATATATGTAATGGCGGCGAAGCAGTCTAGTGTTTCATTTAAAAATATATTTAAGTGTTTAAGTACCTATGGTATCTAGGTTATAAAACACATCATCTGATTTACAAGTGAAGGGAATAGGGAGAGCCCTTTGAAGTCTGAAGACACTTCAGTTTTGTGCGAATTCTGGAGAAAAGGATCTTAATCTTAATCTTCTCATCTTAATATAATCATACGATCGAGTGATGTCAGATGCCCTGAATCAGGCTAGAGAAACGCCGATCCGACTTCCCGGCCATCAGCTCGCCTCCCTTTGGTTCCAGAACATTCGATAGTTTAACATATCGACGCCTCCAAGGTGTGATAATCACAGCGAAAAGCTGGAAGGTCTCACATTTAATAAAAACTTAGCTCTAAAGAGAAACCGCGAGGCTGTGATTCTGTATCGTGATTTAGATGACAAATACCACAAGGCAGCGGTTTACATAAAACAAACGGCAGAACACTTATATACATACATCCATACACACATGCATGAAACAATCCAATCCTACCGTGATAGACCCTGTTGGCAGTCGGAAGACGGAAGTGCATATGCCTTGAATCTCGCTGTTATATAACATTAAATAAATATATAATGAAAGGGGCAGATCAGTGGAATACCCTCACGTTTTGGGACTGACTAATAGTGTGTGAGCGGGCGTGCAATGTGAGCAATGATCCGGCTGGATTCGGTTGTAACGTGTGCACAGGCAAAACAAGGAAAATGGTTTTTATTAATCGAAAATGCATCCAGCTTGGAAAATAAAAACCAAAAACTCACATGCAGTATAAATTTTCCAAAACGTTCACAACGATCAATATCGAATTAAGCGCGCAAACATCTCCAGTTGATGGTGTTTGGGGCTTAGTGAGCCACTCCAGATGAAACCAAGTCATAGCTAAAAAAAAATTCAATATTATATAAATAAAAAATATTCTAATTTTACATACTCCTTCAGCTGCTACAGTTCATTGGACTGTACACGTTCATTTGAACTGTGGTATTCTCTTAATTATCCAGTCTCACTACAGTTGTGTTGAGAAATGAATAATCATAGCAGTTTGAGGTTATATGTGCACAATACATGCCTCCATAGGTTCGAAGCTTAGAACAAGCATTTCGCAGATGAGATGGAAAACCAATTGAAATCCCAGTCAAGTGCCTTTCTGTTGTGCTCATAAGGGTCTTTCAGCATGAACACTCTTGCAGTTTGACTGCTTAACTCAGCTCTCCCTTATCACTCACATTAAAAGATATACTAAGACATCAGTAGTATTATGGCAACCTTTTCACAGAGTAATGTCCTGGGTACCACTGGAAGGACTGCGGCTCCTAGTACTCGGGCCTTAGGGTCCTTGGCCCGGGCTGCTCCACAGAATTGCAACAAGACGTCATTCGTATGACTTTGCCAGGAGGGCATGGGAACTCCGAGAGGGTCAGATAAATGAGTGTCTGTTACTTTACACCCGCTCATGTTGACCAGTCCATTTGATTCCTTCGCTAGTTGTTCCACCATGAGAGAAGGCCCAAGCCTGGTTCGCTGATAGAGCCCTGGAACACAAGAATAATGATTCTGAAAAAGTGAAACAAAAATATTAACAACAATCCAGTGACAGGGAAATGTACAGAAATGCAATGTGAGAAAAGATCAAGTGATCACAATGCAGAGGTATGTCACCGTTCAGGTAGCATGTGCAACTGAACCACAACTAGCGTACAGTTTATCACTCACTTGATGTGTATTTGCTTTTTATGCTAAGCTCACACTACATGATTTTAGCCCTGATTATCCGCTCGCTAACAGTTTTTAGGGATCGTGGACAAAATCAGAGGCAAACTGGTGTTCACTCGGTGCTGAATTGCTATTTGTGAAGTGTTTAAAGATGCGACTCGACAGAATTGCCGATATGTTGCAAAAGCATGTCTCATATATAGCAGGCTAAATATCTGGATTGGTTGGCGACTCCAAATCCTGTAGCGTGAAAAGTGCTGTGACCTGGTTGCAACTGGCAATCAATGCTGCGAAAAACTACAGCCAATGAGAGCACAAGACAACACCCAAGGATGGAGTTTAAAAAGGTTTTAAAAGTACAATTTGTTTACTAACTGTTCATAATGTTCAGGGGTCACAGTTATGGTTATTTGTGACATATACAAGGGTTAACTTGATTTGATTAAAGTGATTTGATTTAATTTGATGAAAGTGTTTTAACAATTTGCAGCGCATTGACACTAGAGAATTATTTCCCCGTCTCACTTCTCTAGTGTGTTTTCATGACAAAACATAGCTTTGAGACCAGACAGACTCATCGGGGATTCCTCCCGGTGAAAAATCTTGTAGTGTGTGACCTCCTGTTGCTGATCAGTCATGTACTGCGTAAACCACGACTTCAAAATTCCCGATTACAAGAAAAGTTGTGTTTCGTGAACAGTACAGCGTTCTGACGACTTTGAGAGTGGTTAGGGGTTTGTGTCCCTTACGATCAGAGTGTACGGAGCCTCCTTCTTCTGGCTGCTGTCCTCAGTCCCAGGTGTAGCGGCAGAGTCGGCCGTTGCAGCAGAAGGGCCTGTCGGGGACGTGTCTACGAAGAGCTCGTCCACCACTCTGAAGCGGATCTCCTCGCCCTGGTCCATGTAGAGATCGTGGGCCCCCTCATCTGTCTCGTACTCCCATACCCAAACTTGTTCAGCTTCATCACTGATGCGCACGGTGAAGGAATATAGTTGGGCCTTGGATGGCGATGAGCCACCCCCACATTCAGCAACAGTAACATATCGTCAGACATTAACTCATATCATGAGGGCAGAAAAAAATCTCACTGTGCAGGATACAACTTGGCGGCCTGTTGGAGAGACTCCGGGGGAATGATGATGTCATCAAAGAATCCCAGGCTTACTGTGAGACGCAAGCAAGGTAAGCAAAAGTGATATCTTGAATCACGATTATGACCTGGATATTAGACACCCCAGCTCATTTTAATGAGATTAATAGACATAATCTTGAATGAAAATTTTACATCACATTCATTACTAAACAGAAGTGCTCAGAAATGTGTGGTACAATATAAAAATGCAAAATAGTTTAATCAAAGCACACTAAAGTATACTTTTCACTTTATGTATGCTTCTAAGGCCCTTTTTTCAATCTGTTATGAAGACATTTTGGCTCATGGGAGTTTTTACAAAAATGTTCTGAGGGCAGAATGAAAAAAAGACAGATCAGATTGTAGAGGAGGTGGGTCCAAGCAACTAGAGGAGGTGGGTCCAACAGATCAGGTGTCCTGGTCCCGCCTCCTCTTAGTTCTGCCCTCAGAACATTTTTGTGTAAGTAAAACTCCCCTGAGTGATATTATGTGGACCACATTCCCTACTACTAACTTACTATTATGTACATAAAAGACAACTCTCAGAAACACTCCAATAATGGAGAAGTTGGAATACTGTCGACCAAGACAGACAAACACAAAATCAGCATCAGACACTGGCCAGCATTACTAAAAGTTTGCATGGATGCCTAGACAAGAATAGCTGGAAGAAAAAAATTGAAGTGGAAGAACAGCAGTCCATCGCACATCCTACCATGCACTCCTTCCTGGCTGCAGTATTTTATCTTCCCCACTAGGATCTCGTCCAGGAATGGATGGAATACCACATATCTGAAGTGCACTGATCAACAGAAAGTAGGACAGAACAGGAAACTAATGCAGGTTTTTACTAGTTATAGACATCCTGATTGAGGTAATAGTGGGAAATATTTTCAAAGTACACCGATTACAAAGAAAACCATATATTCTAAATTACAAATACAAGATAACCAAACCCAGAACAAAATACTAAACAAAGCTGATTTAAAATTTTATATAAGTCAGGCTTAGCGAGCCAGATCCACAGAGAGCCGGTGCGCGTTTTTGGGATGGCCTCTCAATCAGCCAATAACAGTGGGTCCCCAGGATTGGAGTTGAGAACCACTGTTTTATTATTGACTGATTGAGAGATCATCCCAAAAACCCGCACTGGCTCTCCAGGGATCAGGTTACCCACCCCGATCTAAACTGTCAACTGTATTGCTGTGTGGGCTTTAATTTGTCTGCCAACAGGATGGGGTGTTATAATGCCCCTCCAATCTGCTTTCATACCTTTAGTGTGGGAGGCTCCATCCCCTGGGAATATATAAGAGTCTTCCAGCTTAGTAATGTCATAGAGACAAATGCACAGGCCCACACTGTATACTACCTGATAAGGAAATGAGAAATAAGGGCTACGTGTGACAGAACACCATCAAAAAATTGTACACATAACAGAAAATGTACTTCAGCTTTAATCTTTACACAAACACAAAGTTATTTAGATAAAGAGCCATATTATTGATTGTGTGTCATGTATGATCTGAGTCAGAAGCCGCCGCCCCCCTACCTTGTTGGCCAGCTTCTTATTAAGCTCCTCTGCGATGGTATCATTTAGTTGCCTTTGAAACTGCCATGGAGGAATCCTTACGGTGTCAACCATCTCCACCACCACAAACATACTAACACACGGACATAGGGTCGAGAACGAAAGCAAAAAAAAAAAAATCATGAAACATCTTTTAATAGAAGAATGTAATCCCTACATCGAGAATAGTTAAGATGTCTACTAAAATAATATAGTTTCACTAAAGTAGCAAAAGTTACCTAACACATGTAAATTTCAAAATTGCGACGTTATTATACTATTTTATTTCGCGTTATATGATTTTATGAACACGCGTGGAGCCCGTACACATTTACCTAATTTTAAGTGATAGCAAAACACTGCTCGAGACGCTAAATTCAATTTATCTAGCTACCTTCTTGTGTAGGAAGAACAGCCACTAAGTCTTCGGCTGCAAGCAATCGTGATACAATTCTTTACAATTTCTTCAGCGGAGTCTTAGATTATACATGCCATGAAGCATAAACGATACCGTGTTGTGTCAGGGTAATTCACGACATGCCGTCACTACTACATGTTGTTCATTACGACAAAGGTATCAATTTACGGTAAACATTTAAATCAGCCCGTTTCACAGAATTCTGAACCTGTGCATTTTCAGTGATTTCTACCGCCACAATTAACTCTAATAAAGTGATGAAAAAATGTGTCAGTGCTGACATATTGGTAACTAAAAATATATATATAATTGATTACATGTTAACGTGTCAATGTCAGTGTGTGATCATTAATCAGTCATGAATCTATCAATATTCTAGCTCATATTTTTTTATCATAGGTATATGTACAGTATGTATGTTGGGAATGTCTGCGTTACCATTTAAAATAGCAAATAAAATCCGTGTATCTATTCGTTAATCCGTTTATTTATGGAAGCCCGTTTCCGCCACCGGGGAAAAAAATAATATAAAATTTAAGTCGAAATTTCGACTTAGTTAACTCGTTATTTCGAGATATTATCTCGAAATTTCGATCGACTTATTATCTCGAAATAATGAGATAACTATCTCGAAATTTCGACTTAGTATCTCGAAACAAGTTTCTAGTTTTAATAACTTATCACGGAAGTAAGGTGGTGCGTTTTTAATGACAGAATCGTGTTGCCAGTACACAGACAACGATGCACACCGATTATTTTTGCGCTTCAAACCATTTCGTGATTTGTGCAAAATCGTGCTAATAGCTAATATTATAGGTGCTGTCAGCTGTAATGACATGGTGATTTAGCATTTTGGGCTCATGCATGGCGACTGATGCACACCCCTTTGTTTCCCAGATTGCTTTACGTACAAATCTTAATTAATTTCTGAATGTTTGAATGTATCCGTATAATGTGCAATGGGACAATACATGAATGGGTTAATAACTTTAAAACTAGACAAGACAGGCACTTCTAGTGAAGTGTGCTTTGATCAGTGGACTACAGGGAACAATGCACACCCCTTGGATTTTCAGAATAACTTTCTCTCTATCAGTTATTAATTATACATTGTATCCATATTACATGGCATAGGGGTAATGAACTAAAGGGTTAATAGCTCTGAAACAAAATGAGACAGCCATGTCCTATGCAGTGTGCATGGATCAGGGGAACCTGGGGAACAATGGACACCCCTTGGATTTTCAAGATCACGTTCTCTAAAACAGCTATTAATTAATACACTGTGTGCATATTACATGCCATAAGGGCAATGCACTAAAGGGTTAATTGCTCTAAAACAAAATGAGACAGTCATGTCCTATGAAGTGTGCCTTGATCAGTGGAGTCTGGGGGCAACACACACCCCTTGGATTTTCGAGATCACTTTCTGTCTAACAGTTTAATTATTATTTGAAATATATTACATGCCATTGCTCCATTTCATACATATTGACAGTTAATTGATAACACAAATTAATCCATAAGTAAGTTGTAAAGTGTGATTTAGGCAGTGCACCGTGGGAAAAAGCAAATATTTCACAGCTGAATTGCTTGATTACGTGTTTTGTAATCGGTGTGCATCGATCGTTGTCTGTGTACTGGACAATACGATTCTGTCATTAAAAACGCCCCACCTTACTTCCGTGAAAAGTTATTAAAGCTAGAAACGTTATTTCGAGATACTAAGTCGAAATTTTGAGATAGTTATCTCGTTATTTCGAGATACTATCTCAAAATTTCGAGATAATATCTCGAAATAACGAGATAACTAAGTCGAAATTTCGACTTAAATTTTATAGCCTATTATTTTTTTCCCGGTGGCGGAAACGGGCTTCCATCATATGAATCAAATACAAGATAACCAAATAAAAAAAAAAACCGAAAACCACTCGTATTTTCAGTTTTTGTTTCCAAAACCAAAAACGACAAAACGGATAACGGCTCGTTTTCCGATTTCCCATTTTGTGCTCAAATCAAAAATGGAACAAACGGATAACGGCTCGTTTTCCGATTTCCCATTTTGTGCTCAAATCAAAAATGGAACAAACGGATAACGAGCGCTCAAATCCGCTCAAATCCGGACCCCCCACAACCTTGAATATGATTGATAGATGGATGGATGGATGGATGGATGGAAGGAAGGATGGAATGAATGAATGAATTTATGACATTTCCAAATTGTCTCTAACATGTTAATTATTTCTCTTGGTAAATAAGAGGTATAAAAACTATGGATTAAAAGCTTATTGCCCAGTAAGACCTAAAACCATTGAAATTTTTAGTCCTATAAATTCTGGAGGTATTTATAATGAATTTCTATATACAATGCTGACATCCTAAAATTAAATTACTAACAATATTAGGTAATATATGTAAGTGCATGTACACACAATACTTATCTTGTGAAACACGTGAAGGTCAAACATTTTAAAATGATACAGAATAAGTAGAACGAACAAACTCAAAGAACTGTAAAAGGGATTTAAAATACATTAATACAGCTTTATTATTCATAATGCAAATGAGCTTGTCACCATTACCCTGCTTATACAGACACAAAAACTCAGTGGTCACACAGCACGTACCATTTTCACAGTTTCTGCACTTTATTAACAGTAAGAGAGCAGCTGCTGCAGATTCAATAAAACAGTTTGCAGGTCATGAACCTCAAACAAGCTTTAATCCACACAATTATAAAATGTGCTGCCTGACTTTGATTCTGATTTGAACTGGGAAACTTTTAGCAATCTGTACAAAAGAAAAGTCATTTATGGTTCAAAAATAAACATGTAAATTCAAGGTAAACACAGAGTTTGGGGAAAAATGCAGCATTGATCAGAACTGTTTAGCAGAAATCTTACTGCAACAACACTTTACCTTCAATCATGGAAACCATTCAGAAGACAGTCAGTCCTCCAAGAGTATTCTTGCACAATTTTCAGTAAACAAAGTTAATTGCTATTGTTATTCTACACAGAGAATCACAGATCAGCTCTCAGTCATGTGTTACAGAAGAAATCCTATGAACAATATAACCTTTTAACAAATGGACCAGCTCCCCCAAAAGAATTCAGTTTACTGTTTGATTAACAGTGCCAAAAATACGAAGTTTCAGGGTACCAGTACATATGGTCCAAAGATTGGGCTTACATTCTCAATGCACTAGGAGGAAAACAGAAAAATATTCTGCGAGTAAAGCATTCAACATACTCAAACAGCCCCATGTCACATCCTAAAGTATGGGTTATCTCAGGTCCCTCAAAGGTTAACAGGTTTACCAAAATCAGGTACCGTAATAAGAGATATTCATGTGGACTTTACCCCTTGTTACAGTGAGTACATAAACACACATATACAAGGGCAAAAATCTCCATCCAAAGCCTTAACCAAGAGTTCCAGGATTCAGTTTTAGAACAGACAGACATAGCAGGCAAAACCGTAACAGAATTTGCGGAACAGAATCCACTTGCCAAAAAACTATCTTGGGAGAATTAAAGAGAAATATGTTCATAGTGTGGCTGTGTTGCCAAGTGGCACCGCACTTCGGCACGTTGTGTTAATTGTGCGTATGTTCAGAAGTTGGCCCTTAAAAGACCACCCACACCCCGGCTGGCCGTACAGCCCACACATGATACCACAGGGGAATGGAGACCACGCACTCTGACTGCATCGCTGACAGTACGGTGTCTCACACACCCACCCTAGTCAGACAATCACCAGGGCAACGCTTAGTCAGATGGCCTTCGTTCCACACAAACACAAAACAAAAAGAACAACACATGAAACACATCACCATGGATCACAGTGACATTCAGTCATCGAGACAAACGGAATTGGGGGTGGGGCAAAATCTCTTGGATGAGGATAGAGTAAATAATCTGGGCATGTGAGGAGTGTATAAGTGCGTGTAGAAGGGAAGCTTCAAGTAATTTTGGGTGGACCAGGCTGCTTGAAGTATGTCTATAATGTCTGTGGGACATTGTTAAAAGGCTAGAGGCCCAGGTGCGTCCCCGGGCAGTTTAATGCTGAGTATTACAAAAAAGTCACCTCACAATACAAACCTGCAATAAAAATAAAACGGAAAAGGACCCCCCAGTAAAGAATCTGGCCACCTACCATGCTCACAGAAAGCCTTGGGACACTTGCTTAACTTTTCCAAATTGTTGCAAACTTTGGCTTCACAACAAACGTCCATTGACTGTTTATCACACCTGCACATGTCTTTCGCACAGACATTATCTTTTATCACTGACTCGTTCAGTCTTGTTCTTGACATTTTGCTTAAATGAAATGTTTGGTGTTTTTTTGTTATGGCAAAGGTGTTATTAAGTACAATGCGCCCAGTGAGACTGCTTAACTATTAACTTAACTCAGAGCAGCTCTTTTAGAGCCAAAATTTGGGTTTCAATTTATTACTACTTGAAATGAATATTTTACTTAAAACAACTGGTCGTTGCTAATGTAATAGGTATTAACAAATGAAGTAATGATTTTTGTTATAAAACCAATTTTTTTACTGAATGAAGCACATTCTGTCAGCACTGTCGTAGGCCTGTGCTGTGTGGCTCAGTTCCTGCACCTTGAGTGCGTATAAAAGATGGACAAAATACGTTGTCAAACAGAGCTGCGTCAAAGCGGCAGGTCCACAGGGAGGCGCGAGCGTCCGGGAACTGCAGCGCCATACAGGAGAAAGCGCATTTCCATCTGGATCTCCAGAAAAGTACAAATAAATAGCTGTGAAATATGAAAACACAGAGCGACTATTAAAAATGACCTAATGCATTAGAAAAACGGGTGTGTCTGATCCCCAAGGATTATCATACGCAGCTGATACATGAAAGCGTGTCAAAATGGATGAGAGGCATAATCAGTGGAAGTGAGTCATGGTGAGTGGCAATGAAAAGTGATTTTTGGGTGCGTCAGTGGCATTTTGAACCGCAAGAGTGCACTGTCACCTTCACAGACGTATCTTTAGTACAGACCATAATTGTACTGCACCGTAGGGTTGTGACTTCTTTCTTCACATAGGTCTATAACCCCTCCCCCTTTTGCCAGACTCCTCCCTATCATCTGTAGGCCCCGCCCCCCATCACTGCTGCAGCACTTTCATCCTGTTAAGGGCACTCCCGGCCAGAAACCACTCGATCTGCGTCTCGTTGAAGGTGTGGTTGAGCAGGATGGTGTCCTGGCGGCCGTCACTGTGCTTCAGCACGGCCTTCAGAGGCTGGGAAAGGAAGCACAGCAGAGCATAAGTACATTCAATACAATACTCTCAAAAATACATGGCCAGTACTAAGGCATATGAGTAATAGGGAGGATGAGTAAATAGGGATTCCTATGATGGGAGTATATTATACACATTACTATGCATGAGCTATAAGGTAAATCAAATTGACCCGTTTGCATGGACTGCCCATCTGTAATTCCGACTGAAATTCTCCTTAATGTAGACACAGAATGGGTAATAGTCTCTCACTTAAAATGGCATACGTGGGTGTCACACAAAAAGCCAAGGAAGACCAAAGGATCGATAGCACTGTCAACAGTGAGGGTATCAAATGTCATCTTCACCTTCCCCGGAGCAAAGTCCTTCAGGCCAATGATGGAGATTTTGTCATCGGGGCGGATCTTTTCATAGTCCTGGGGGTCGGAAAAGGTCAGAGGAAGCAGGCCCTGCTTTTTCAGGTTGGTCTCTGGGGTACGAGAGGGGAAAATTGTTTTCTGGAAATTAGCGCTGCCAAGGTTATGGAGAACCCAGTGCAGGTATTGATTCAGTGACACGTAGAAAGGCCAAGCCTCAGCCCCTGCACCTTCCCTGCAGACGAACCGTGGATCCGGGCGAAGCTCTTAGTGACGATGGCCCGGCCGCCCAAGTGTCGTGGCTCCAGGGCTGCGTGCTCCCTGCTGGAGCCCTCGCCATAGTTCTCGTCTCCCACGACAACCCACTGCACGCCATGCTTCTGCAAAGTCACCCCCCCCATACGGTCAGGGCACCATATAAAATCACATACACTGCGTGGCTCTGGCTGTCATGTCCATCAATCGACTGCAATTAGCTTAAATCTATGGCTAAACTTGGTTAGCAAGTATCAAGCATAGCGGCTAAAGGGCCATGATGAAGGATCCTTAAACAGGGCTCCTAGTCATCTTATCAATAAACACCCATCTGCATACCTTGGTAACTAAAAGCTCGCTATTTTACAGGAAAGTCTCGTTAGCAAATAAAGGCTAACGACCTAATGGGAGGAGGTCCATCAAACTGCAACATTTGGAGCAACTCCAGCATGTGGGCTGAACTCCCACCTTGTAGTGCCGGGCCACATCGGGTACGCCGTCGTACTCGCCCGTCAGGTGATTGCGGATCTTGTTGACGGCGTCGTTCTCGACGTTGACCGCGCCGATCAGCAGGTTGTTGGAGATGTTGTCCAGGTGGCCGCGGAACTTCAGCCAGGGCCCAGCGGCGCTGATGTGGTCCGTGGTGCACTTACCCTTCACCTGTGTGGGTCGGGGTGCGTAATTAGCACTGTAGCCTTACACCTCCAGGGTCGCGGGTTCGAATCCCGCCTCGACGCTGTGTGTGGAGTTTGCATGACTAACCTCCCACAGTCAAAACATACGTCATTTTCAAGTTTCTAAATTTTTGTCACGTGCACAAATGCAGTGGCACATCACGTGAAAGTAAATTGCAGCTCTAGATTGTATATTAAACAATAAACAGAATCTACAAAATAAAATATTAACAAAATAAGCACTAAAAATATAGACATATATACAAAGTATATAAAGGGATGATAAAAGTTATAAGAAAAAATGAGAAAATATTTAAAGTGCAGGCTGCAGTGGCAGCTTATTTTAGTTTGTAACCGGGGGTGTTGATGATCCTAATGGCCTCTGGGGGAAGAATGTTCACCTCAGCCTGTCAGTCCTGGCCGTAAGGCACTGAGTGCAGCCACTGTTTATGGCGGGGGGGTGAGTTTCTCTAATGATACTAAATTCCCTGGACTTACATCGCTGGATGCAGATGTTCTGCCGGGAGGGCAATTTTGGCCAGGGGTGGAAATTTTAGGTCCAGGAAGTAAAAATCCAGACCAAGATTTTGTTTCAACCAACCAGCTGCGTATAAAGGGTCACAGTCATAGACTACCCACCTGGTTGGTTGAAACAAAATCTTGGTCTGGATTTTCACTTTCTGGATTGGGATTGTCCACCTCTGATTTTGACCTGAGGCACCAGTGTCTCTAAATGGCCCGCAGAGTGTGTAGCTGTGTGAGCCCTGCGATAACCCGACAGCCACCCGGTATGCCTCCGTCCTGCAATTCCCCAGAAGCTTGTCGCTCTCTAATCAATGAAAGCAACATGCGAGGTAGATGGATGGATGTATAACAACATAGACGTCTCCCACTTTGTTTCTATCCAGTAATACAACCATTTATTTTTACTTTACTGGTTAAATACCCTTACAGCCTCCTGAAGCAAGAGGGGGAGACTTGAGGTAATGACCTTTCAGCGTACCAGGGCCCATCCTTACCCATCAGCCTATTTTGGTCCATGTTTAAATTAGCAGGAGACAGAAAATCTGCACGCTTCCAGCCTCCGTCCTCCTTCTGCCTTTGCTGTGCGCCACAGGCTGTTGCTCCGCCGCCACAGTTACCGTGGGGCTTCAGCAGCGACCTTAACCTGAGCGCAACACAGGCTCCTCCCATCCGCACGTTTTTGTTAGGCTCCCCCGTCGGCCCCCTACTGAGCGCACCCGGAAATGCAGCCAGAACACCCCCGAGTCTCCCACCTTGATAAGCACCCGCAGGTCCTCCAGGTCCTTGCCGTCCCACTTGTCGAAGGGCTCTAGCAGCTGTAGGCGGTTGCTCTGGGGGTTCACGTCTACGCGCAGGGAGACTCCGTCTGCCGGTGGGTGCTGGTAGGTGTCCTGGCCGGGGTCGAAGTCTTGCGCTGGCAGCTCGTCACCTGTAGGGGGCGTCAGTTTAAACTTCTCCCCGTTGGCGGCTGTGAGATAGTCCTTCTCGGGGTTGAACTTCAGGGTGCCGGCTATGGCCAGGGCAGTGACTATCTGAAAAGGACACACAGGCAAGACCAGAGTATGTCAAGGTTTTGGAGGATTGCGGACAGGAAAAACTAACACAGATCCCAAGCCAGAGTATTACAGATTTTAGGGAATAAATGTGAATTCATCACTGATAGAGACTTGGCAAGGTGAGGCGATTTTCTGCCAAAATGATCAATTCAATAAAGGGAACAGGAACATAGACATTCTGTTTGTGAGGGGATTGGCGTCCCGTTATTAGGAAACTGAATGGAGCGTGACTAAGTGTGCGAGCGAGGGCTCATGGGTACCTCGGGAGAGGTGACAAAGGCGTGGGTGGCCGGGTTGGCGTCGTTCCTGGCTGTGAAGTTCCTGTTGAAGGACGTTACGATGGTGTTCTTCTCACCCATCTTCACGTCGCGCCTGAGACAGGAGGCGAGGGCAGTCAGGGCCGCTGGCACCGCGCCGCACGAGGCCCGGAGCCGCCCCCTTATCCCGGCCGAAAAGGCCGCTGGCACCGCGCCCAATTCCCCCTTCTGCCATGACTACCGCTACTGGCACCACTGCAGGTGTCCACGCCAGTCCACGATCGAGCCAACAGAAAGGCTTATGGGATTATGTCACCGCACAGCGCTCTGGGTTAAGCTCGCTTGTGAAAACGTGCCATAATACATAAAATGGGGCCGAACGATAAGAAAAGCAGAAATGATAACGAAAGCGTGTCCGACGCTAAGGAAATGCTACTTCCAGTGATGGGATGGCTATGGTGGCAAGAGGAGAGCAAGAATAACACACCCACCATCTCTGCTGCGTAACATGAACAGATTTTATACTCTATAAACACAATCAAAGTCGGAGTTTATGGAAAACGGTGAGATGCACGATATTTCAGTTAACAAATCTGCATCGGTCGATATTCATCAAAAATCTAGGTCTGGTGTGTCAGTCTTGGCTGATATTGCCGGCCGATGTTTAGACTTTATCAAAATCCAACGTTATCAGCACCAGAGCTAAAAATGATGGAGATGCTCGCATTGGACAATCAGCCGTTTTAAGTAGCTGAGGATGAGGGATTTCATCGGCTCAATCAGATGCCTTGATTCCGCCTCCTCTAGTTGCTTGGACCCATCTCCACTGCAATCTGATTGGTTATTCCTCTGAACCAATCATTGTTCCTTCTATCCCCAGAACATTTCTGTGTAAGTAAAACTCCCATAAGCTCAATGCGAGCATAAAAGAGGTCTCAAAGTACTGGCCTGCTGTACGTTTACAATCTATTATTAAATCTGAGCCACAGTCTGATCTTTTCTTTTCCACAGAATAAAACATGATGTAGCGTCATTCTGCTAATCTGCGCCTGCATCTCGGCAAGCAGGTCACAAGATAGCTGGTTATCAGTATCGGTGATGTTAGACAAAAATATATTGGTTATCGTATCAGTCAAAATTTCCGCATCCGTGCACCAGTATTACACGCCCCCGCCTTTGTCCTCACCATCTGAACAGGCTCAGCAGGGGCGAGGGTGACGTACCTGTCCCATTGGCCAATGCAGGGCCCGCAGGCATTAGCCAGAACCACCCCACCAACATCTCTCAGGACCTCAGCCTGCAGTCAGGACAGAGAACATGAGTGTCAGGTCGCCCATCGCCCGCCTCATGGAAAGCAGCCACGCAGACGGCCCCAGGGACTCACATAGCCATCCCTCTCGATGGTGGCGCGGATCTGCTCTGACCCCGGGGTCACCGTGAACTGGGCCTTGCACTTGAGGCCGCGGTCCAGGGCCTGCTTGGCCAGCGATGCGGCCCGACCCATATCCTCGTAGCTGGAGTTGGTGCAGCTACCAATCAGGCCTGTAGGGCGCATGCATGCACAAGGCACCCAATCAGGGCAAAGGAGAAAATAACAAAAGGACAGGAACTTCACGTTTAGAGATTTTTTTCCAAGCCCTTTGCATAAAATCTTGGCATCAGCCACTTGGCATTCGGACATCTGGGCCAGCGGCCGGCGCACTGACCCACTTTGACCTCCAAGGGCCAACCATTCCTCTCAGCCACGGCGCCGATGTCCTCCACGGAATGTGCCAGGTCGGGGGTGAAGGGCCCATTGATGTGTGGCTTCAGCTGCGAGGTGGGACGCAAGGGGGGACAAACAGGACACACTGAGTGGGACACTGTGACTGCACCTCTCCGCGCGAGAGGCCCACACACTAACCGAACTAAAGGGTGCGTAGCCGCAGTGATTTAATAATCGAAATCGCCATAACAATCGGTCTATTGAGTATAAAGAGTCACAGTCACAGAGTACTCAACTGAAAACAAAATCTTGATCTGGATTTTTACTTTTTGGACCTGGACTTTCTACCTCTGGCTGCCGCCTGGGGCTACGTGCGAGCGTTACCTCGCTCAGGTCGACCTCGATGACCTGGTCGTACTGGCATCCGGTGTCAGGCACTAGGTCATCTTTGTATTCGTCCGCCAAAGTGGCGATGTCTGCAGACGGGGAAGACACACGGAACAAGCTGGTACCACTCACTCTCTATTTTGACCCAGCCAGACCTTAAACTAAATGCTCCGGTACCGACCTGCTCTGCCAGTTTTCTCCAGGTAGGTCTTCATGCGGTTGTTGTAGGGGAACACAGACGTGGTGGCCCCGATTTCGGCCCCCATGTTACAGATGGTGGCCATGCCTGTGGGGGGGACGGCCTTAGTGACATCAGCAAGGGTCAGGTGACCTGCAGGATGATTATCTATTTCTCTGCTAATGTCTAAGAGCTTCTAGCTGATGTTTTTGGAGGCATTTCTGTGGACCTGAATTTAGCATTTTCTCCCGCATGCGGTGCCTGAGCCTGACCGGCCATCCATCTCTGTCCTTGTCTTCCTCACGCCTGACAGGAAGGGTTAACAAGGTGTGCTTGGGAGTCTGTCATGCACTTGGTTAAATCTGATCCCCATCTGCACTCTGAAGCATCTTAGCAGGGTCAGCAGAAGCTCTCACCGGTGCAGGAGATGGAGTCCACCCCCGGGCCGTGGTACTCCACGATGGCCCCCGTACCCCCCTTCACCGTCAGGATCCCGGCCACCTTCAGGATCACATCCTTCGGGGAGGTCCAGCCTGACAGGGTACCGGTCAGCTTCACGCCGATCACCTGGGGAAGGAGAAGGTGAGGAGAGGAGGCCGGACAAAAATCAAAAGAGCAGAGGCATTGGACCCAAAAGGGGACTGACTTTGGGGCACTTGAGCTCCCAGGGGATTCCGGCCATGACGTCAACAGCGTCGGCTCCGCCCACTCCGATACAGATCCCGCCTAGGCCGCCCCCGTTGGGGGTGTGTGAGTCGGTGCCAATCAGCATGGCCCCGGGGTAGGCGTAGTTCTCCAGAATGATCTGATGAGGAACAGTGACAACATGTGAAGGTACAAAACTGAACACGAACACTCAGCAGCCACCTTACGTACACCACTGCTTCAAGGGTGGATGAGCTGTGAATTAAAAGAAGCCACTTTCAGGCTACTGCTATACTGAGCTGCCATTATGGCATTTGGGGCCTTCCTGTTAGCTTTAAAAAGTCTCACCATTCTTCTAGCCCAGTGTTTCCCAATCCGCTCCTCAGAGACCCACAGACCACATTTCTGCTCCCTCACAGCTGTCTGGCAGGGTATTCGGTGGGAGCAAAAATGTGGACCAGCTGTGGACCCCCGTGGATCAGACTGGGAAGCACTGTTGTAACCTATCAGCCAGAAAAAGAGCCATGGGCTGGATATTTTTTGTTTACTGCACCCTTTTCTGTAAACTCTAGACACTGCGGTGTGTGAAAATCCCAGGAGGGCAGCTGTTTCCGAGATGCAAGAACCGCCACATCTGGCACCAGCAATTGCATCACAAAGTTGCTTAGCGACGCGTATTAGCCATGCTAATGCTTAGCCAAACAGTGGCCCAGCCTCTTAGGCCCGTCTGCATGCTGTGTATATTCAGCTGCAGCCACATGATTCACTATTTGATGAAACAGGCTGTTTATGTTAACCTGCAGGTATCCGAAATATAGCAACCATTGAGTACACATGCAGTTATCAAAAATAACACTAGTAGACACTCCACAAAACAGTCATTTATTGCATAATCCTTAAGAAATAGGCAAGATTATTCCTGCTTTTAGAGTTTTAAAGCCTCGCAGAAAATCATAGATATACAGTACCTGATGGATGATTCCAGAACCTGGTTTCCAGAAACCGACTCCATACTTCGCTCCAGCACTGGACAGGAAGTTATAAACCTCTTGATTCACTTCCTATGAGAACAGAGCAGGAAATGGCCTGATGTTCAACAACAACAACAACAAATTTATTTTTGTATAGCGCATTATCACAACATTACATTGTCTCAAAGCACTTTACAGCATCCCCACCCAAAGCCCCCAGTGAGTAAGCCATAGGCGACAGGGGCAAGGAAAAGCTCCCGAGAAGGAAGAAACCTTGGGAGGGACCAGACTCAAAGGGGGAGCCCATCCACTGTTACAGAGTCTTGCTATACCACCTGCAGGTCGTACTAGATCTGGGCCTGGCCAGTACTTAGATAGGAGACCAACTACGGAAGCTGGGCTGCTGCTGGAAGAGGTGTTGGTGTGGCCAGCAGGCTAGATAGGACTGACAGCTTCACAGCCTTCTTTGTGTTTAACATTTTGATTTTTACTTAAATCAACGCCAAAGGTTAAAAGGAGCCGAAAACCCCCTCCAGATGGATGGGAACTAATTGAACCCAATTTGGATGAACTTGACCAGAAAATGAGAGAAGACAAGAAGATGACAAATGACAAGGTTAAAGGGGCAGCTCACCCCCAAACTGAAAAAAGATATGTTTTAGAGGGGATTTAGTGCTATCTATCCATCTAGGTTGTTCTTCTCCAAACACCAATCCCATCACTGTGCAGAAGATATGAGCATGAACACCCTTGCGGTATCTTCAGCACATTGATCCGATTGGAGTGTGGAGTTTGGTAGGAGAAAACCGTTCCCACATGAAACTGCTCACTACGAAGTCTGTGGATTATCTTCAGTAATAGGGTCATGATTTCTGGTGAAAAACATTGCTGTTGAATTTTTCAAATGAATTCTTTGGCCCTTAAATCACCAGAGAAAGAATGCCATTCTCTCCCACTATATTTGAGAGAAGACCAACAGTTCTACAGCCGATATCTCTAAAACTAGGCAACGCCCAGCAGAGCAACCTAGATGGATAATAGCACTACAGCCCCTCAAAAGCATTTTGTTTTTTAGCTTTGGGGTGAACCGGCCCTTTAATCAAATTTTGTTTAGGGCCTCAAAAATGGTTGGTTCAGCCCTGGCTGACTATCAATGAGTGTAACTAGAACTCCATCTCACTCCAATCCACTCCTTGACCCACTGGAGTCTCAGCTTCCTCTGCCCACACCCCTCGCCACCCACCTTGGCCCGCTGCAGATCCTGTGCCCCCCCAATCTGAGCCTCGATCAGGTGGTCGCAGTGGATGGTGGAGGGAACAGCCACGCGGGGGAGCCCGCTGCTGATGAACTGCAGCATGGCCATTTGCGCAGTGGCGTCCTGCATGGCCACGCGGTCCGGCCGCAGCCGCAGGTAGGTCCTGCCGCGGGCAATCTCCTGGCCGGCGGGGTCGTCCAAGTGGCCGTACACGATCTTTTCGGACAAGGTGAGGGGTTGGTTGAGCCTGGAACGTTTGCGGGATGTGAGAAAAACTGCCGAACACGTACAGAAACACGTAATGTGAGAGGAAAGGATGGATATCAAGGCGAGACACGTTTCAGGCAGAACGGCCAATGGGCCTATGTGACACAGTGGAAAGGAATAAAGAGGGACTCTGGGGACGGGAGATGGGAATGAGGAAAGCGGGAAGGAGAAATTAAAACATGGCAGCCATACTGGTGTCAGTGCAGGCAAAACGTACAAGAAAACAAAAGGATGATCAGATTGTGGAAAGCAGATGAGGGGTCTGGGCACATTTGCTGGGTGAGAGAAACATCAGTCCTATACTGTAACTGGAAATAAAGAGTGGACGTGCATTTCAGCAGACCGTGCTCAAGTTGCGGGGCATCCACCTCCCACAAAAACCACCCACCCCTGAAAATATATCCCATCTAAATTAATGAATATTATCTACTGGCAGATAAGCATATTGACTGGAGGGAGGGGTAAAAACTGGCCCAAAACGCTTCAGATTCAGCTCCTTGTTTCTCTATCCAGACCCATCACACGTAAATAATTTTTCCACAAAAAATAAAGCATTTTTGTAACTCTTCTTGCCAGCATATGCCTTGTTATTTCATTATTTCTTTCAAAAATTGCGCCGGAATGATCATTGAAATGTTTCTTTAACACCAAGGATGTGAACATCCACGGACACACATCTGGTTGGGGTTACTCCAACAGCCATATCTCAAAATACAATAAAGATAATGACATGAATGCTTTTATGTCTTTATTTGGTATTGATGTAAAACATTCTGGATTATCAAATCTAACCTGGGCCAATGTTTAGCTGCCAGTACAAATAAATTAAGGTGAGCAAGTGCCAAATATTAGAAAACTGGAAAAAGAAATTGTTTGCCAAAGAAAACTGTAGAGATACTAAAGTATAAATGTCAAATACTGAAAAGATCTGCAAGGAAGAAGAGATTGAGATCGGTAACAAGACAGTCTCACGGCCATGACATGGTCGGGTAGTCATGCTGATGGAGGACAGACAGGCTAAGGAATGGAGGAGCAAAGGCTGACCTCTTACGGACAACGTTGATGTTGGAATGCAGCTTGACGTAGTTTATGCTAGTGTTTGGCTCGAACCGACTCATAGCCACCTGGGCCCTGGCACTGAGAGCTGCCGACACATGCAGCTTCCTCAAGCCCCGCCCCAGGATGAGCTGGGAGGAAGCAAAAGGCCAAAGGTCATTAGAATACAGTGGAGAAATCTCTGCTTTCAAATTAAAAGTCCCTTCACCTGAACTGTTTACCAGTCACTTATCAGACCTCAGAGAAAATCAAGAGAGGCATCTGCAATCAGAAGAATTAATACGCTGAGACCGACTGTGAATTACTGAAATTAGCTGAAATTCTTACAGAACTGCTGTCATTTCCCAGTACAGCATCCCCCCCCAGTCATCTTCCAGTGATGTTGCAATGTGCTTATTTGCTGAAATCTGCTTAAATGCAAGTGAATGAGGTAGTCTATCTAGCCCAGACTACCTTAAATCCAACAAATTATCTGGCTAAGCAAGAAATTTTGCTTCGTGGAACACTGAAATTTGGAAGGGAAAACTGCTAAAAAATAACTTTACAAATTTAAAAAAAGAACAAAAAAGGGCGCCTTCTAGTAGGTGAAATCAGTAAAACTGGACTTACGTCTATATTTATACAGATTAAACAGGCCATGAACTGAAATCAGCTCGGTTTATGGAAGGCTATTTATCATTTTGGTTGTTTACTGTTTGCATATTTAAAGAGATAAATTCGATGTATCGGAAGACAAATCATAAGGAAAGACAGTTGTATGACACTTGCATAACCCTGTGTATGACATTTGTTATTGGAATGATCATGGAGAACTAGGAAAACTACAAAGGCCTGCATGAGAGAATGTTGTGAATTTATTAAATACTGGGTATTTTTTTATAGTCTGCTGTTCTTATCTACTGGAGGAAAACCCATAGCTGAGCACCAAGATCAGCATCTGTCAGGCCTCCTAACTCGCCGGTGCAGTGCATGGATTGGCACTTAAACATGGCTGCCCCTTGGATGAACACCCTCTGCAAGCCGAAGAAATCTTTGACAAGGGTGCGGAGAAGACAATTTTACTACTATATTGTCCCAGGTACAGTGAATGAAGTTACGACACATCTGCTATATGAATGACAGGGTTCTTGTATTTCCACAGCAAGAACTTGAGATTTCGTTGATGAATTTAAACTTTGCTGAGTATTACTTTGTTAATGAGAAATAAACACACTGGGAATAAAGATCTTTTATTTGGTCGAATAAAATTTATTTGTGAAACAAACTGTCCTTAGCCAATTGCTTCTAGAGTTGTAGTAAAATGGGCCAGTGCAACACAGGATGGATAATAATGGCCTTTGCAAACCAGCATTGAAAAATTTCGATCATTTAAATTTTGAGAAAAGAGGACGGTGCCCAAATGAGAATCATCGTATAGAGTACCTTCAACTCATCCTCACTACAATGATTCGTAGTATTGCCTACTCGTGAAATTAAATAACACACAAAGACACAAACAAAATTTAAAAAGTAAAATAAAAAATAAAATTGAAACTACTAATAGTGGTTTCTAACTGATCCTTGACGGTAGCGCTCACATTGTTTAAATTCAAATCCGTTTCCTTACTATATTACGAAATACTATGGTAATATTTCAAAAGGCTCTATAACATATTTTGTTTTGTGGTATATCTTTATGGACACAGTTATGTAAGTCGGACCAACATGACAATTAAAGCTAGTTAAGCGCGCACTCGTTTCTGTAACCTTGCGATCACCTTGCGCACATTGGAGCGCATAACATTTGCGACTATATAAACATATATATATGTATCTACCACAAGCTTTAAGTATTTCGAACATTTTCTGCATGAATATTACCAGCTTTTCATTGCTCTGACAACAGAGGCGAACTTCCGCCTATTTCTACGCAGCAGCAGGACACCTAACCGGGACACCATGACCTGGTACAACTTATCATTTATGACAGTAAGGATTCTGGAGGGATTTAAAAACCACCATCCAGAAAGAGTGTTTACGACTACAGTCAGCAAGTGTTCGTGATGGTGAACTACATATACATTCAACAATAATAATAATAAAAACTAATTTACCTGGAGCCGAGCGACAGTCAAAGTGTAGGACGCCATTTTGTTCAATACACTGTCGCATTAAGTTGACGTCAGAAATAATTTTACACATTTTTTGTTGCATGTAACCTGGCAAATAACAGAAATGTCTCTATAAAATCTGTTAATGAATTTGCAGTCTAGCCATTCATTTTACATTTTGGTCACTTCACCTGTAAATTAAGTAGGTTGCAATATAATGATGACCTTTAGTCTTGTTTAATTATCTTCCTAGACTTGATTAAATGTATAGCATGGCGCAAGTGTACGGTTATCTAGCAATTTTCTAATACTGAAGACGTCCTCTAAAATCGTGTTGTATTATAACCTAGGTGGTTGGGGGGTGGGCAGGGATTACATACATACGCATAATTATCCACAAAGAGCGATTTAGAGATGCCAATTAGCCCAACGGTATGACTTTGGACTGCATGAGGACCAGAACTAGTGCAGCCGTGCTTGCTTGGGATAAACTCCAAACGCATAGCAGAGGCAGGATTTGAACCTCCAACACTACACTGTGAGAAGCCGGATTATCTGGTGGAAACACGGAAAGAACAAGTAAACTCCACACACATCAGGCAGAAGTGGAATTAAAAACTGCAACCCTCGAGATGTGAGTCAGATGCATCACTCAGAGAGATACCCAAATGCTGGTTGTAATAACCAATATATAGTAACTTCTGTGACCAAGGGAAGGCACAAACAACATTACCCAAAAGCCCTAGAAATGCCCAGCCTTCTGGTGTAGCCTGTGCCTTACATGCTGACTGGCCAAGCTTTATTACCCAATTGATTTCGGGGTTCTTGCTTTTCTCAGCCAATGAGGTTTCTGTTGCTATCACCGCCTGTATTTTTAGCATATGGCATAGAACTGCCGCCACAACAGGAATATTCCTTCGCAAAAGGAATTAGACACCCTTTGGAAATTTTATTACACAAATTATTCACAGACGGCTAGTATTTTATTTTCATTCAGAGTTTATGTGCGGGCATTTGGCAAAATGAAACCCGGGGCATTTAATAATGTTTAAAATAAGTAATATTTCTTATGGTACGGCTATATTTGGCGTGTATTTGGATACACGCGTGATTTTTATACATTATGTATTAATGTATTTTGAACATTTTGTATTTGCAGTCAGTTGTTTTCAAGTCACAAAGCAAACAGTGTATCTTTGCATGAAATAGAAAGCCCCTGTCCAGCTTTTAAGCAGTAACGAGAAAGGCATTCAGAAAGTAGTCCCAGCTTGAAGCACGTCACAGACCAGGGGGGTGCGGGCTGGAAGCTCTGGTATAATTGCGCAAGGTTGTCAAACAGTAAAGTTTCTCTGGTACCTTCATTCACCGTCGGCCGGTTGCCGGGGAGTGTGCTGTATTCTTCTCTGATTACATCCAAATGAAATTAAGTAAAATACAATGAAACAAACGACGATCGCTGGTACGATGCTTGAATAACTGATTTGCATAACCATATTGCTTGACACTCTTTACACTTAAGGGAGTTTAAACAGCAAGAACAGAACGCAGGCTTTGCATCAGTAAGTATGCTTAGCGTGTATGTGTATATTTATGTCTATATATATGTGATTCGATGATTCTATTTATGGGGGGCTGTCTGGCATATTATAATTCTTTGTAAAATATTATATAAATGCAATACAACTCCGTATTTTTCTAAAAAATAGTTTCGTTATTGAGATATATATATTTTACAAATAAAGATTGGCAGTGTCGAAAAATGTTGAATGTTTAATTGGTGTGGTCATCCATTTTAGAAGCTGTTTTGAAAATACCATTTAACCATGGATGCACCTAGACGGATAACGTCTTTGCTTGTAATAATTAAACTAGAATTCAGCAGTTGGTAAAGACAGTTGCAGGTTCGGTTAGTTTAAAACATATATATGTTTGGATCAGTATAACTTATCAAGTATTAGGATATAGATGTTATATCGTTATGACTCGAGTTTATTCTAGGCCTTTGTTAAGTTACATTGTCCGTCCGCTGCCTACATTTACTTAAGATTAATTAATTCTGTTGTTAATTCGGGAACAGTGCTTATCTTGTATTGCAACAAAGGTTGTTTACCACTGACTGGTGAATTTACCAACACACCAAAGCAGTATGCATAGCACTTTTCTCGGGGATATTTCTGTAAGGCTCATTTTTGCGGTATAAACAAAAAACATGGCAATATAGTTGTATCCTATAATCGATAATATTAAAGGAAATTGTTGGTGTCGTTTCTTAAGCAAATCTACGTGTTCACCACCCACTCTCTCTTTCACCCATGAAGACACCTTCATAAATCACTCCTTTTCTACGGGATCATTAAATCGTGTGTGGACTGCCTGGAGGTTTTAGAATAACTCAGACTTCTGTACCCCTCGATTTAATGTTTCATGCTTTGTCAAAATTTAATACATTTATATAATATTAAGAAGTGTAAATAAAACAGATGTCAAGATTATTGCCTGCTGTTAACTTATCAGCTGAATCTAACAGGCCGTCCAGGTTACAGTCGGAGTGATGTATACTACTTTTAACTTATTCATTTATACGTGTAAACAATATGGATCCGAAAAGAAATAACACGATGATTGTATATGATAATAATGAGGTAAGATAATCAAACCAGCAACCAAAAGCAGTAACGCTACCCATCTTAGGAAAACCAGATACATTCAATATTTCGACGTTAGTTTCTGAAGGATGATGCGAGGAAGTTTGGTATGGATTTCATTTTGCGTCTTGCGTTTTAATAACTACGAAATTTTACCTCGAATGTTCCTATTTCTCTAATTTATCGAAGGTTAGCGTTTACAGCGTACAGTCAGATTGACATTGAATGACATTGGACAACAAAATGCTAAGAACTGCTTTCGTTTTCTTGTTTGTCAATTTATGGGTCGTTGCAATTCTGTGTGCTTTACCAATGCATGGGGAAAAATCACTGAACAAAACGGAGCCAATGAAATCATAATTACAAGCACTGGCACATTTTCGACAATTAGATAACCGGTTGTTTGCATTCAGTGCGTGGCCAATGTGTGTTTACAATCGACGCAGGCGGCGTACTGTATTTATTTAAAGGAACAGATTCCTCTGTCTACATGCATCAGATAATGTATTAAAGGTTATTATACGGAACAGAAGATATTTCCAAAAAACTGATCAGCTAAAGCTAAATCGCTAATAACTGGCTAATGTTATGTAGCCTTCTTAAAATTATGTTTCTCGTTATATAGCAACTGCAGCCGAAGATTTCCGTCTGCAAAGAAGCTATGTAAAGAGAATATTGATATCGAAATAGGACATGTAGTGGCGTTCTAGCTAGCTAGAAACAAAAATGTCACCTTAAGATACATTGGCAGGTGAATTCTAATATTCCGTTGGACCCTCAATAATACAACAAATCTCTATTCTTAAATGTCTCTATTCAGTAGCGTTTTGCATATAGGTAGCTAGCATATGACTCAAGCCAGTATATTTAGGTACCTGCAACAACATATTGTTTTGGTGATGGTGCTTCTTGTGATGCCTGTGTCACGCGTGATGACGCAATTGTTTGCATGTTCCCTTTGCATTTTGGGAAGGGTAGTTCTATTTTTGCTTTTGTAGTCGAATTTCTGGGTTACAAATTATACAGAATTTCGACGGTTTCAGTATTGCAGAAAACCTGTTTGCAGAGTCCACATTTTGGCTACTCTAGACTTAAGTTATCTGGTACTGAAGAAGAAACGTAAATGCATACTGATTTATGTATCAATTTCTCTTCCTGTCGCATATTTCAGGAGACTGAGGAAACGCATCTTCTGATGTCTGAAAAAATATTGTTAAATTCAAACTATCTGCCAGATGAAACAGCCTCTATTTAATGTGTGCAATCCTTGTTTTGGGTTAAAATTAAGAGTTAAGGGAATTGTTAGGCGGGTTTTCTGCCACTAACACCCACACGTTCTTTCACTCATCCCTCCTCCACTCATCCCTCTTCCGTCTGTGTAATCCGCAAGAGACGAGTCCTTAGCAGAAGGGAAACTTTCAGGGATGTTAGATTCAGCATTTTCCTGTTGAATTATAGAATCGCTGACAATGTTAATTCTACCTACTCACCCTTTTCCCCTGGACTTTGAAATTCTTTTCGTCGTATCTTTTTGCGTGTCCCCCCCCCCCCCCCCATTGGTGATTTTCTTTTCATTTCCTAGGTTTTCAAATGGAGTGATGGAGAGCTGACAGCTTTGTAAAGTTTGGGCAATTGTGCAGTTCTGCTTACAGTGTCTAACAGGTAGGGAAGGATGTTTTTTTTTTTTTTACTCATACCTGCAAAAATACACATCCCAGTGTGTCGTTCAAAGGAAAGCAATTATAGGACAAAATTAAACACCAAAAGATGTGGGGTTTGTTTCAAGATGAGTTAAGGGAAAAAGAGTAAACTTTAATATATATAGTCTTGTTTTGGATTAATTTAATTTTTAATAGAAAATGTAGCCAATATGCACACAAATACACGTACAGAACAGGAGAAAATATTTAGATTGTGTTTCGTTTGCTATCCCACCTAGAACCCTGGACTGACTCGACCATCTCTGTTTATCAAAGCCATGCACCTGGAAGTAAAGGTGGCCCTGAACTTTATTGTGTCCTACTTGTACAACAAACTGCCCCGTCGCCGGGCTGACCTGTTCGGGGAAGAGCTGGAGCGTCTTTTGATGTCACGGTTTGAGGGTCACTGGTATCCCGACGCACCGCTGCGGGGCTCGGCATTTCGCTGCCTGCATTTGGGAGTGCCGTGCGACCCTGTGGTGGAACTTGCCGCCAAAAGGAGCGGCCTAGACACAGAGGAGGTGCGAGCCAACGTTCCCGCCGAGCTGAGCGTGTGGATCGACCCGTACGAGGTGTCCTATCAAATCGGCGAGAAGGGAGCAGTGAAAGTGCTGTACCTGGAAGACCAGCCTGGTCTGGCTGGAGAAGCCGAGCGGGCTGACGGCATCCATCCCGGAAGTAAAGGGGAGATGGAAGTGGACGAGGCCAAGAGTTTGGGGTTTAACCCTGAAGCGCAGGTATTTGTGCCTATCGGGGGTCAGGTTTCCCCAGTGCTTCTGCCGTCCCTCTCCAGTTCGCCCCCCCCACTTCCTGCAACATCCTGCTCCAGCCTGTTTGGGTACCCAACTGCCAGCAGCACTGGTAACTCGGCGGGCCACTCCACAAATACCTCGTCTCCGCCGCCTCCCCAAGGCTCGGGAATCACCTTCTTGCCCTCTCAGCAGCAGCCCCTGGCCCCCCCGAACCCACGCCCACCCCCGCAGCCCATCACCTTCACCACCGCTAGTTTCGCTGCCACCAAATTTGGCTCCACCAAGATGAAGAAGTGCAGCGGCTCGGGGCCGGCGTCCGGCTCGGCGGTCGGCATCCCACCTCAGCCGCGGATGCTCTCCCGCTCCCCCACCACCGTCTCCTCCCCAGGGCTGCTGAAGCACAAGCCCCTCTCCCTCTCCCTGCACTCCTTGGGGGGTCAGATCTCCAGCCAGCTCTCTCCTAATGCCAAAGAGTTTGTTTACCCAGCATCCCCTGGGGCCGTCTACTTCGACACTGATGCGCAGCCGCTGCCCCCCCAGGCCGGGCCCTTCCAGTCCCCTCACTCCCACCCCGCCCACCCCCACTCCCAATCATCCTTCGACCCCTTTTCGAGCACGGCTCCCGGAATAATCAGAGGCAACGGTGGGATTTCCTATGTGGAGAAGACTCCGTTTGCAGAAGGTCTGGGTGGATATAACCTGCAGTATCCCAGCCAAGCCTTCCAGCCTGTGGTCCTCGCCAACTAACCTTGCCGTAATTCTTAAACTGATAGTAATCCTAAAACATGCGTTCACAAGAGGACTTATTTGCTAACACACTTCTTACTAATATTACAGTATTACTACCATTGGCATATGTTGTGGTAATTATGATTTTTGTTAAGGATGTCATTTTTATTTCAGCATGGGGAGTGATCAGCCTCCTGTTGCACAGTACCTTTATTTTTTTGCATTGAATGTTAAACTGATTTTAATGTTAAACTTTTCTGGTTCTGCACATACTTTCCAGTAAAGCAAGTCTAATTGACCCCGGCTAGCTCCATGCTGTGACGCTGTGAAAAAAGACCCATCGATACACTGACACGCTGATTGATTACTGTGAAGTACTGATGGACGTGCAGCACTGTGCCGCCTGTACTCAGGCCTTGCTTACCACGGAACGTGGACCCCATTTCTGCTGGGGTCATGAAGTGCCCCATAGGACCTCTCCCATCCCTCAGCCCAAGTCTGCTGGAACTGTGATGTCACTGCATGGTCACATGATCAGGAGAAGAGGTGGCTGGTCAGAATGTAGCTGGACTGACACGGACCACAGCATCATGTATTTGTAGTGTTTCCTGCAAGTTGCACAAATAGGCAAGTTAGGCATATAACTGTGGCATTAAACGGGTTTACATGGCGAGTGAGTGAAAGCTGCGGAAAGGCTGAGGAACTGCTGCTAGTCTTCGGACGCGAAATGCGACCAGACGTGCGTGGGTGTCTGCACGCATGTCCCGCAGGCTCACACCTATGCAGAGCCCCAGCCAGCGTGCCTTGAAGGTGCGCAGCATCACGCTGGAGGGAGATGGAGGGAAGTAGTGAAGCGTCAGGGATCGTGACATGCTGTGCGGCTCTCGTGGAAGAGAATGCGAGACGGGAGTTCAGTTAGAGAGAAGTGGATTCAAAACCCAGGGTCTTATAAGTGTTTGAGCTTCAGTGCTGTTGTATCCAATGGCCACATTTCCTGCTCTTTAATCTTGCACTTCTCATATGCAAATGTGTTATTCGTGCTGAGTTTTACCTCTCATGGTAACATGCGTCGTATGTCCTTACGAAATGGGATAGTCGCTTTATAATTCTCTGCCCTACTGCCTGTGTAAGAAGCCCAGCAAGGCCTCTCATGCATAATGGTGAAAATGAACCAAACCCGAGGATGGCTCTGGTTTCACTGGAATCTCGCCAGAATATTACTCAGATGGTCATTACTGGCCCCCGCAGCGGTGAGGCTGGAATGGGAAGCTGCCAGTGCTCCTCTGACATCATTCCAGCCAAGGCCCTTTTGTAACTGCTGAAAAGAGGTAGATAAAAGCTGAAGGCGATCGTTGGATGGGAAGAATGGCGCGGATGGCACAGTTAGAGCTTAGGTCTGTCGCAACAGGGCATTGGGAAGGTTCACTGCATCCACGTCGAATGTTTTATTCCCTATGCCCGCAGCAAACATGCGTATAAGCGAACGTGCCGACACTAGCACAGTCCGGGTACCAGACGTCTCCCTTAGTTAATTTACGTTTTTTTCTGGGGTGGGGGGGGTGGGGTGGTTCATTTTCTTTACAAATCGGGGGGGACTGAGGGGGGAGCATTTTTACATTAGTTTCTAATTTATTTACAGTTTTTATACTTTTTCCTGTGTGTTTTTTCAAAGAATTATCTAAAACATTTATAACAGCAAGAGATAATATATATATACTATAGCTATATAAGTATGTATATTTATGTTAAGATTCCCTGTATTATTTAGTTTCTTACGTGCTGGAGTTATTTTTTCAAGAAGTAACTAAAATAGATGTATATAAATCGGCAGGTGGAGGAATAGAGTAAGTATTGGATGTGTTATTGTATGTTATACGGAATTTAAATAAAAGACGGGTAACTGTAATGTCACATTTCTTGGTGGGTTTCAGGACGTACATGTGGGACGAAACCTACGTGACCATTTTCACTTTGCTCATGGTGTCTTTATAGTGAAATATTATTTTCTGTCTTTAAATGTACTTCTGCTGTGTGTCTCGCTCACGTTTCACGTCATTTGCAGATCTTGGCTTCTCCATTAGTGTGGGTTTCTGTCTCCTTTTTTTCCCCCCCGATTCTCTTAATCAGCAGCATGGGACATCAAAACCCAACTCCAGTACTGACATTTCGTTGCTGTTCCTTTCATACCTGTTGTTTTTTTCATGCACTAATATGCTGGACGCTGCTCTAAAATGCCGAGTCTGTGCAGGTAATGGACACAACGCAGGTTGCCAGTCTAGTTGGTTTTCCACCTTTGAAAAGCTGATAGATTTCAGATTGAAGCCTGTGATTCCTCTGTTCATGTTGAATGCGTCATTATCAATAATGGCCATTTCTACTCCCAGGGGACGCTGTGGTATTTTTGGGTGATTTTATTTTCTGAGGAAACTATGTATTCTGTTCTTCCCCCACATTCCCAGACGCTTAAATGGTGATCAGTTGATCCATTTAATCTGATGAATTCTCTTAAAATGCTGTGGGTCTGTACAAAAGACCCACGCTGCTGCCGGAAGTGAATCACAGGTCGAAATCCTAGTAATTCAAAATGGGGATCAAAGGACTCCATACAACAGGAAAAACAGTGTCGCAGGTTAAATTTATTGGCCAAGTGGTAAGGTGGAAATATTTATTATTGAGGTGACAAACATACCATTGCAATGGCCTCCCCATGTATATTTCAAAATCCTATATTCAAGTGGGTGAAATGGGGAGGGCAGTGTGAGGAGGAAATGTAGATGTTTATGCATATTTTTGTGTGTTGCTCAGTGAAATATTATTTTGAGAAATTATTTTATATGGAGATTATAACATTTAAGAAAAATGTCAGATGTTTTCCTTTTGCCTCTATTATATTATTTTCCTATTTTCTATATGACAAACACCCTGTGTTATCAAATGGAACTTTCACTACTGAAATGCAATGACCTGCTTTCTGTAGTCCCTTGGAGGGGACTGTCTACTACAGTTTCTTATTGTATTCTTTTTTTAAGTTTCTAATAAAAAGGTTACTAAAATGAGCATGAAATAACAGCTGTGTTATTTGATTTTTAAATACTGAATTCTTCACATCAATAAATATTTTTACTTGCCAATGTAGTTAAGTGAAATTATGAATCACCCACCACACACTAAAATAGATGTTTAACTTTAGATTATTGTAACTAGTTCTCATTTCGGTTTAGTTCACCTGCGATTATTAGGAAAAAGCGCCATATCTTCTTCTTAATGATTTGCGCAAGCAGTCCATGAAACTTAATTATAAATATATTATAAGTGGAATAGAAGGTTGATGCCTGATTGTTGCAGGCATTTGCTTCCATAGAGATGAACATATGGACAAGTCCAAAAACGATAGTCTACTGACTACATTAATAACAATTAAACCTGTCCATCATCCTAATCTTAATGCTGACAAACAGCTGTTGTAACCGTACCAAACACACCAGGTGTCACTATATAAGCCAGGCCTCATTTAACGGGGCCTGCGACTGGATCGCCATGGACGCGGTGGCGCGAGACCAGCACACGCAGTCTACGCGGGCTTACGTGAACCCAACAGGCGCACAACCTAAAGTTCTCTTCATTCAGAGCGGGAAGAGAAGCTGACCATCTACTCAGACTTACAGTATATACTTCCTGTGGAATCAAGAAAACTAACACTTTTTTTTTTTAAAACGATCTGTTTATTGTTAAACATTTTTCTTTTTTTCTTTTTTTTTCTTTTTTATACAAAATTTGGTCCACTGCTTTCATAATTCAGTCTCAGCCAGGAAGGACAAAGAAAAACAAACGCGAAAAAAAAAAAAAAAAAATCCAACAGGCTTCCTTTTTCCCCCTTTTAAATCTTCTTTGCATTCACTTATGAGGTGTCCTTAAGAAATAAGACATTTATAATATTTACTCTCTGCATACAGATCCATTTTCACAGGGGCGAATTTGTCATTCATTACACTCTATATTGAATTTGTGTTGCTTTAGAAATGCGTTATGCGGCTACTGATGAACAGTTTAGGAAACACTGGCCTTGTGTACTTACACCCCCGGTGTAGATGAGCTCACACTTTTGACCCCAAGTGAACTCTATACGAAGGGTGGGGTGAGTGTACAGCTGTGTGCAAGCTGGGTCCCATCTCCCTCCCCTGCGCATCTTCATTTCAGATCCCCCAATACTACATGGACCTGGTCCTTACCAGCAAAATTTCCTGGATGCACCCAACACACTACAATCATAATCATTAAGCAAAAGAATAACAATAATGGAGATAATTAAGCAATTAAGAGGAAGATGGAGAGGGATAAACCTGCAAACACACATGCCTCAGAAAATGAATTGGATGTCCTTGGTGCAGGGTATGAACTGCCCTCGCAATAAGCAAAATGCGATACAATCCACGGGTAATCGGTTGTCGATATAGGCCCAAACCAGAGCTATTTGAACAATAAACAAAACAGCAGTTAATGCATATATATCAATAGCATAAGGAGAACCAAAAATAGTAATAGTAATCATACTCATAATCAATAATAATAACAAACATAAAACAACTCTCTCAATATAGAAAGTCATTCCAGACAGCAGTCCCTCAACCGTCCACCAGGGGTGCAGGGCTACAATCCACTGGCCACCTTGTCTGCATGGACACCAGCAGTCACCTTGCATTAACTGAATCTCAGCCTTTTCCTTGGTCACGGCTCCGCTCAGCCCAAAGGGCCCGTCTGTTACTGCTCCAGAGCCGCAGAGCCATGGTGTTTGTCAGCAGCCTTGATACCACAGCTTACATTCTAGCCGCAATGAGCCCAGCGAGCATCTGGCCTATCTTACTACACAACATCTAATGTGCGCTAAAACCGCCGGCTGACGACCTCCAGAGAACTGCCAGTAAGACACTGAAAGATCTTGCTGGTCTTTTCTGGAACTGCACCAGTTACTCTGTACAGGCAGGCGACTTCATAGTTCAAATCAGATAAAAGGTGATTACGGTAGAAGACTCTCAAAACACACCAACATATTTTCCTAGGTTAGTTCTTACACAATGATTAATGAAACAAGTTAAATATAAAAATTAGGAAGAAGCTGCAGTTTGAGGTACAGTCGGCACTGGAACCAGTATTCATGGAGCACAAACCAGTTTGCACCATGTAATATCCACTTTTATTCCAGTCTATCAAGATGTTCAAGGTTCTCCCCAAAGACTCGCACTCCTTATTTTTCTGCTGTTTTCAGTACATTTCTGACCAGGATTATGGATCTCATTCACTATAAGGTTCTGCATTTAAATCACCATTGTCTGGAATGACCCTTACAAAAACAAAATGTCTACTCATCTATCCGTACAGTTCATATAGTATAGCGTAAGAGTCAATAAGAAGTTGTACTATGTAATCCATACAAGTATGATCTTATTTAATTAAGCATAATGGCTAAGTTGTCTATTATTAGTATACAGATTTATTTTGGATTTATATACCTTATATACGTATACATGTGTATGCGTAAATATACACACACATACTTTTATATATAAATTTTCAATGATGGCATATAAGGACAAGTGGTTAGATGATATTAGCAAGTTATATTCATTATTCTTGAACTTCTGCTAACTTCACCCACTTCAGGTGCCCCCTTACAAAATTCCCCCATAATAAAGGCTTTGTCTAGTCGACCTCGAGTATACGCATAGTGCACCGACCAGCCCCAACTAAAAATAAACTGCTAATCCCGCTGTACTACAGACCAAAATTCATTAAAGTAAATTTACCAAACTTAAAAACCGCGATTAGCATTGGAGCAGGATACCTTCAAGAATTTATTTAAATGCTGACGTGTGTACAGGCCAGAGCGCCCCCACCACCATGTGGTCGTCTGATAATTATGGCTAATTAGGCCCTTCTCAGCACTGTGGCCCTTGCCCACCTGCCGTCACGTCAGAGCTGCCCCCCCCCCCCTGCATGGACCGAGGGGCGTCTGCTGACTGCCAAGTGAGAGGAGTCTGGTCCTGCGGTGGTCACCTCTCCGATCCCCAGAGAAACACCATGTGATCTGAGAACTGCTCACATCCGACAAGTCTAGTGTGACATCCATGTCCTGCTACCAATATGGCAGATAAAGGTGTGGGGGGGTGAACCTCGGTCCACACGAGCCCAGGGTTTCGCGGGGTCTCACACTACTGTAGCTGTACAACTGTTTCAAGACTTTAATCATCCAGATGCTCGCTCACGTTCTCTGGTGTTTCTCAAGGCTCTGGATGACCAGGGCTGGACTCTCTCTCTCTCTCTCCCCCCCCCCCCCACCGTCACCCAGCCTGCGAGGACTCGATGACTCTGCCTGTGTGGGAGCTGCTGGGATCTTACCTGCTTGTCTCCATTTAGGCTCACTTCCAGCTCTAAGGGACAAGTGTTGGGGAAGGATGTAGCAATCATATTTGGGGGGTGGGGGGGGCAGAGAAAAGAAAAGAAAAAAAAATGTCCTCTTCACCAGCGCTTTAACATGTGCACCTCTGACTCTGCGTGTATCGGTTAAGGGATGTCGGAAGGGCTTCTCGATAATAGAAGTCCGACACTTTTTCCGCTTGTACGTGATTATGCCTGTGTGTGTGTGTGTGTGTGTGTGTGTGTGTGTGTGTGTGTGTTCGGCTATAAGCGCCATGGCGACTCAGTCCTGCAGGAGGAAGTTGTACTTCCCAAAGTCGATATCGTTGGGCGCGATCAGCATGTCGTCACGGGCTTTGGCCAGCTTACGCCGCAGGAAGTCCCGCCTCTCCAGCCACTCTGTGAGCTCCTCCTCGCCATGGGCGTAGTCACAGCTCACTCCGTCCGGACAGCCACCCTCTAACCTGGTAAGCACAATTGTAAACAAGACCACACATTCATATCTTTGTGGGGACCGTCCATTCATTTCTATGGTAAAAACCCTAAACCAAACAATGACAACCTTAACCCCTTCCCACCCGTAACCAAACAAAATACAGTGGTACCTTGGTTTGGGAGCATAATTCGTACCGGAAACGTGCTTGTAATCCAAAGCACTGGTATGTCAAAGCGTATTTTCCCATTAGAGATACTGGAAACTAGAGGCCGGCCGATATTTGGCATTTTTTAATGTATCGGCATCGGCCGATATCCTTGTGTAGTACGCCGGTTTACAGACAGGCACGTCTGTGGGCAGCCCTGTGTTATTGTTGCTGGGAAAAACGTGACCCATACTGCCTTGTGCAGGAACCCAGCCAGAAGTTTTGGAAGAGTCCTGGGAGAAAACGGTAAGGCTTAAATTCTGATCTTTCAAAGACCTGGTTTGCTATGAAATGTTGCTTTAAAAGAAAACGCGAGCACTTTTGAAAGAGAACGCGAATTACGTGTTTGGGAACTGGTGTAATGATAATGAGCCTTCAACCAACTGTAGCCTACAGGTAACAATAACCCTCCTCTTCTCTCATCTCCCTCACACCATTCACGATTCTTTTCAGAGGTAAAGTGCAGGTTAATTTGTTTTACGTATTTTTACTTTATATTTTGTATTAATTTTTATATGAATATTTTTGGGTTGTGGAACGAATAATCTGAGTTTAAATAACAAAAACACAATACAACTTAAACTTGGCTTGGTGAAATGCTGCCATACAGGATTAGATTTTTATCTTACAAGCCAAATTTACAATCAGAATAAAAAAATAACTTTCCCATACTACATAGCCTTGTATGCAAGGACAACGTGAGCCCCTAGTGATTGTGACATTGTCGACGGATAAACCCGTATAAAGGATAGACATGTTTAATGAGGAAACTGCGCAAAGTCGTGCACTTTTTATCTAGACATCTAACAAATTATTTGAATCTCCGCTGATTTTTAACAATTAAAAAACCGTCTGTGAGCCCACCAACAAGCACACAAAATTAACTCTGTCAGAATCAATGATTCTTATTTTGTAGTACGACTTTCATCATAACTAACGGAATCACTGCTATCTGTTGGCTCACTGGAATCTTTTTCTTTTTGTGCGACTTCAACAAGCAACCTATCCAATGACAGCTGCTTTTGCCTCCTTTTCGATTTTGCGGAAATGTGGACATTGCATTGTTATTAAACAGTTCATCGTACGCCCTTATTCAGGTGGTGCTTTTCTACTAAATTTTGACTATGATTGAGGAATGCAGACCGAGACGGAACATGGGAAACGATTACCCACAATCCCGCAGCGAGAGAGAGAGAGAGAGAGAGAGAGAGAGAGAAAGAACCATCGGTTCAGTTGTGATCACGTGACTAGGCGGACAAAGTGTATACGTAATACTCGTATTGCAAGACCTCGCTCGTTTATAAAATTTATTAATTTTTGCTTGTCTTGCAATACACTTGCAGATCAAGTTACTCGCAATCTAAGGTTTTACTGTACAAGGCTTCTGGAATTTATAGTTTTTGATAGTTTTATAAAACTGAGTTTCACCTTGTGGGGGAGTAAAAAAAAAAATGATCCACAAGGCCAAAATCACAGGTTTTCAGATTTTTGGGTGATTAGTTGTCATTGTTGACACACCACAGCACAAAGTGCACAACAACAAAATGTGTCCCCTGCATTTAACGCATATGTGACATAGCACGGGGCAGCTAATTCAGCACCGGGGGAGCAGTGCTTGGGGGGGGGGTACGCTGGTCAGGGTACCTCAGTGGTCAGGAATTCAAACCAGCAGCAATCTTTCAATTACAAGTGCACTTCCCCAACACACACACACACACACACACACACACACACACACAGCTAGCTAAAGCAGCTAGAATCACAGCGGGATTCTGCTTGAAGGAGAGGCTGTCGATGACACAGTGGAGCAGATGGCCGCGACACCCAGCGGCAGAGACGCTCCCTTTCCCTCCGTCTAACCGTAACCTGAGAGCGCCTTGCTTTAGTGGGGGTCACTGAGGGCGAGGGACCGCTGCGGCACAAACCGTACTCGGAGATCCGCTTACCTGGGACAGAGCGTGAACCTGGGCCCTGGGAAACGGTGCATCCACGCCAGGCCCTCGTCCTCGGCCTCGCAGCTGAACACGCGGTCCTTGTGCTTCTCCGAGGAGATGTGCTGCTGCCACTGGCGCTCGCTGTTGCTGTGCTTGCCACAGAGGCGGCAGTGGAAGCCGCTCTGGAAGGATACCGCAGGACTGAGGAGACTCACACTCTCACCGTAATATACAGCGACTGTACAAGGCAATGGCTTGGTCTCCTTCAGGCCTGGACAGAGAATCGCCCATGCCGATCGCTCACCATTGGCTCCGCGTAGTCCGTTGGCAAGGCAACGTGTTTCTCCTCTGGAGGTGGAGTCACCAGTGTGCCATCCGGGTGACGGTTCTGATTGGTCAGCGTCAACCACATGTCATACATCTGCTGCATGTCCCGCACTGAAATGAGGCGAAAAGGCCAAAGCTGAAATGATGCATCTGCCATATTGCTGTGCTGTTGGGAGTTTCTCAAAGGAAAATCTGACTCACTACGGATAAATACCCATAATGCATTGAAAAATAGTGAACAACGTACCCTATGACGCTGCCTGTATACATGGTGAAATGTAAAGGTGATACCTGGTGCAAGAGAGCAACATTGTTGCAACTAATGTGAGCACATCTTTAAAAATTAACTAGCGATCTCTGAAAAGCCTGAAGCTGACATTTCAAAATTAAATAATTCAATAATTTAAATCCCTGACAGGCTCACACACTCAAGTGCACCTCATGCCCTTTATCCTGTTTATGTTGCTGTGTTTAGCCATCTCCAAATGTCAGATGTCAAAGGTTGCTAGGATACAGACACGGAGCATCGCGGAGTGTCCTGCCTGAAACCATCGTTTTGATTTGCTAATTCCCTACACAGCGCACTACCTGTGTAAGGAATCCAGAGTGATCATGTGAACCAAACCCAATGACTAACCTATTTTCCGGAAAAAAGGGGCAAGCAAAATGTAGGAATACTGACAGATAATACAAAAAACAAGGTCATAGCATAGCTCTTGCCCTGTTTTTTCCAGAAAAGAGGTTATTCTTTGTTTTTGGTATGTGTATCTGGAGTTTTGGCTTAGGGATTAGCTGGGAGCTGCTGCAGCACAGTCCATCACCGTCACTAAATGGGGGGGGGGGGACTCACGGTTGTTGTTCTTCATGTAGGTCCAGACGTCCCTCTCCTCCAGGCTGTGGGCGAACGAGCAGTTCCCGATGTAGTGGCATTTCTTCTGCTTCATGACGTGGACGCACATCTGAATGGAGACACGGATATGGAGATAGATTTATAACTAAAGCAATCGCACTTAAATGTCACAGTGATATTGTAATTTTATGAAACGCAAATCCTGATCTGGTAATCAGGAGTTGCAAATGTGTGCCTGTGCTTACTGCCTAAGTTTCAGGAGTACAATCCTCATTTAACATTTATGAATCCTAGTTTCCCAGTTTCTGATGTTCAGGTTGCGATTCTGCATTTCTGTTTTCACATTTACGACTTCAGCACTACATATACGAATCACTGGTTAGCTGAGGAAAGTTACACTGCCAGTGGCCAATGGGTTTTAACAAAAAAAAAAAAAAAATCTCACTGTCATTAAGTAATCATTAATGTAATTGTGCGTAAAAAATAAACTGCAAATCCGAAATCGCACTGATTTTTTTTTGTCAAAACCCATTGGTCATTGGCAACGTAACCTTCCCCACATAATTAAGGATTCATCAATGTAGTACTGAAGATGCAAATGCATGAACCGTGATTGGCTCACGTCATACTGCTGCGGGTAGCTCCTGGAGAACGGCAGCGGCCGAACCACCACCCACTTCTTCTTCTCAAAGGACTTGACCAGCAGCACCCTGCGCTCTTTCGTCCAGCTGGAAGGAACAGTGGGAAGAGACAGGGTGAGGGGATGGAAAGTGGGACGGGTCAAGCTTCTCTCTGATTGGTTCCCATGTCCTGCCGACAAGCCACATGCTACCTACCGAATGATGCAGGAGGACAGTGAGAGACCCCTATGTGTGATACCCCGCCCCCCCCGGCCTGGAGCCCGCCTCCCACCTGTGCCGGGCCTTGGCGGTGCAGTATTTGAGCGCCTTGTCGGGCTCGCTGACCAGGCCGTCCCTCCAGCACTGGCCGCACACAAACTTCATCTTCAGGTTCAGCCCGCGAGCTCGTCCGCCGCCACCTCCTCCTCCTCCGATGGCATCGCCGCCTCCTCCTCCGCCTCCCCCACCTCCTCCCGCCACACTGGCCGGGGCCGGCATGTGCAGAGGCTGCGGATCAGAGCCGGTGGCAGACCAATGTTAAGCACAGTAAACTAGGGGAATCCCCGTGGGGTGGGAAAAAAAAAAAATGGCCAGTTTGCCTGTCACGGCTCGTCACCTTCTGCCGCTGCGCGCTCTGCTCCAGCCGGTGCCAGTGCCTTTTCGACTCCTGAACGATCTCCTCGTGCGTGATGCCTACCGAGGTAACACATGGGGCTTAGAGCCAATCAGAAGCAGGGACATTGGAGGCAACTGCCTGAACATCCAATAGGAGCTGCTGTTCATAACGCTGCTGTATTGGTAGGGCCTGATTTTTCTCTTTAATCCAAAACAGTGGTGCGATGGCCTTTTGTTCCTGTTGCCACAGTGACAGTGAAGAGTGCGTGTCTGTGCATGCGCACGTACCAGTGTCCTGCTGCAGCACCCAGCACTTGAGCTCGATGACGGAGTGGGCGAAGGAGCAGCTGTCCTCGCGCTGGCAGCCGTAACGCACCTCGTGGCGGCACACGTCGAACTGGCAGAGCGGGTGCAGCGGGCGTACTTTGCTGTAGCGCACGTTGGCCGAACGCACCACGTGTACCAGGCACCTGTAGGAGGGGACAGCCGGGGAGATTAAACGGGGCAAACCTTGGAGGCTCGATGCCGAGTAAATTTCAGTGGAAGAGAGACAGACGTGGGCGGGGAAGACTGACTTGTTGTCATCAAATGGGTGCCGGGCGGTGAGATTGGAGCAAACCGCGAGGTTCTCTTTGCTCCGTTTGCTGATGATTCGAGGTTTGCTGTCATAACACTCCTAGGGGGAGGGGGGGGGGAGAGGAGAGAGAGTGTGAATGAGTGAGTGTGTGTGAAAGAGCGTGTGAGAGAGCGAGAGGAGCGCAGTGTAGGTGTGTGGAGTGACTGCTTGTGTATGTGTGTGTGGATTAAGTTTATATCACATTGTGGGGACCAAACGTCCCCCACAATGCAATAAAAGCCAGTTATTTTGACCATTTTTCAGGTCCCCACAAAGATCTGTGCAATCCAGAAACTGAAAATGCCTAGAGTCTCCTATCTTGTCTGGTTACTTATGGTTGAGGTTAGGGCTGGGTGGGGGTTAGGGCCATCATGTTGGGAACAGAGTCTTCCCCGTAGAAATGAATGGAGAGTCCCCACGAAGATAATTAAAAAACCTGGGTGTGTGTTTGCGTGTGCGTGAGCATATGCGTACCTCACAGAGGAACATAAACATGCCCATGTGCAGTTGCAGCAGCCGCGTGACGCTCAGTGCCCGCCTCTCGGTGCTGCCCAGCGGGTCGAACAGCAGCTCCCGGCTCAGAGCGCCCTTCCGCTCCTGCGTCCACACGTCGATCTCCTCCTGACAGTAGGCGAACGTGCAGTTCTCTCCATACTTGCACTCTTGGCGCTCCTGCACCTCTGTGGGGTGGGATTATAAGGAGCAACGTTAACACATGGCACTCACACACCACTACAGAGTGCATGTGATCTTATAAGAGCTGGTGGCTAAATAAATTAAATTATTAGGTGAGGAACTAGCAGCATGATAACCTAAACCAGCCCAATTGATGCTTCTAGCTTAGCTGGGAGGCAGAGAACTTTAGCTTCTTCTCTTCATACCTTTGCAGAGCACAAATGCCCCCAGGAAGTTGTTGCGGGCGGGGCGGGGCCGCACCCTCTTCCAGGTGGGGTCTTCGCTGTCTTTGAGTCGGCATAGCAGGATGTCTCGCTTACAGCGGTGCGCCGCCTCTGGCTGGTACTTGTAGTCCATGACCCGCGGGCCTGAGCGGAAACGGAGAGAGAGGGGTGCTGAAACTGCGAAGGGGCCCCACCCTGCTTGCTGGCTGCCATGGCCAGGGATGGGAAGGGCGGGGGCTGCCTGGATCCAAGGATGCTAGTTTGAATCCCTATGATGGCACTCAGGGACGTAGCTAGAAATTCTGGGCCCCCCCTCATAAAACATCACCTTGGACCCCTATTTTTTATATTCAGGGGCCCCGATAAAGTGCTGGGGCCCCTCAGTCTGTCAGGGTCTCTCTGCCCCACCGACACCCCTGACGTACCCAGTCTGATATTTACATGCAGGATGTACCTCATTACCCACAGCACCTGCTACATGCTAAAGTAACAGGCTAGCCTGGGATGGGCAGGGGGGCGGAGTAGGGCCGCATTACCGATGCGGCTGTAGCAGGCGGGACACGCCTGACGGAACTCGTGGGTGGCAGCCAGTGGGTTGCGGGACAGCAGGGAGAGGTTTGAGCCGACTGGGCCATTCTGCATGGAGAGAGAGACGTGCCGCTAAATGAGTAACCTCATCGTTTCAGCTCATAAATGTGCTCTCCAACCATTTTCACAGCTCAGAATAAACTAAAAACGCAGTTTAAATGAATCAGGTACAGTACTATGCAAAAGTCTTAGGCAGTTAAATCATCTTCATTTTGGTGCAAAACTATGATTTTATGTCTGTCAAAGGGTGTGAGCTTAATTTCAAAACCACTTTTAAAGTTACCCCAGTATTTGCAGCAACCTTTCAAAACACCCACATATTTTTGGCATGATCACTAGCACACCGTTTTTGGATCATCGATACCTCACTGACCTTTTTTAAACTTAATTAACTGAGCAATTTAACAAACATGGAACGGCTGAGATGCCCCAGAGGAGAGGTTTGGGAACTGAACCGGTGTTCATCTAGCCATCCAACAATATTAGTAACTTTATGGAGAACGGGAGAAATTCTTGATAGTTTTTATTGTTTTACTCTTAATTTGCTTATGTTCTAATGTTAAATTGTGTTTTTTGTTCTAAACACCCATAAAACATTTCCTTTGACTGCCTAAGACTTTTGCACAGTATGGTATGTAATAAGGAAACATAGAGAGGGGCACTTGTGAACAAGATCCAGAAGTGATCAGACCTGTTCACTAAGCCATGAGCAACGACCAAGAGAACAAATCTCCACATACATGTGGTTGGAGCGAGATTTTTCTACAGGATTCCTATGCTCAGTGACAAGAAGGATAATATCTCCCAGGCGGCTTGGGAATGCCTGCGGATTCCCCAGAACAACCTAGAATGAATCTAAAGCCATGGAAAGACCATCGGCACGCTGCCACCGCGACCAATACAGCGATGATGATGATGATGATGATGATGATGATGATGATGATGATGGGGCAGACATGCAGCTAACAGCATCTATAAAATCTTTCAGACTGACGTCGCACTTACGCTATGGGAAGATTTTGTATTCCGCAGCCCGGGGATGAAACTATGCGAGACTCTTCCTCCTGAGGTAAAGTGAAAGAGGAAAGATCATGATTAGTACAAAGAGAATGAGCCCTAAAGATGCCATTCTGCCTGTTATCTTGTAATGCAGGAATGAGGCCGAACAGGACTGCAACATGACAACTGCATGGCACTGCAAACAAAGAACCTTAATGTCTACAAAAAAATGCAAAGAAACTAGACTTGCAACTTTAACAATGGAAGTGCGCTTATGGCTAAATTAACAGTATTCTAACTAGACCTTGAATTAGAGCTCCTGACCTTGAATTAGAGTTGTTAGACTTTCAGATCACAAACTGTACAGCTAGGATTAGAATATCAACAGCATAAAACAAAACATTTCAGACTAAGAACAGAAGAAACAGACAATGCGACATCAGAATATTTACTCTATTACTTCACTTTCGACGTTTACTGGAAATTTTTCTAAAGGGACTTCATGAAACAACCCTCCGTTAGCTTAGTACAGATATTTCTGATGACTGTGTTTGACCCCTGATGAAACACCACACTGAAAAGACCAAACCGCTCGCTGCCTCTGGTCATGAGGGTTAATTATATGAAGCAGAGCCGTAACAAGGTCTCAACATAAAAAAACAAAGTCTTCCATACTACGTACCACTTTAATATAGCATCAGCTACCATGAAACCAATAATTTAGCCAAAGTACAGATGCTCCTTGACTTATGATAGGGTTACGTTCCTGAACCCATTGAAAATATCGTGAGTCAAATATGAGTACGATATATGACACGACAATCTTGGGCGTTTAGTGGACCTAATAGGCTTGGGAAATTTTGTTTAAACACAGAAAATTAACACCAAACGATACACTGTGAAAGACTGCATGAGATGTTAAAGCTCGTGATCACGAGAGACTGGGAACGTGGCTGTCCCCATTGCCAAGAATCAGAAGTATTATACGGCATATTGCTGGTGCGTGAACAGATCAAAAGTCAACTTTCATGACTAATGAATGTGCATCCTAAAATCAAAATATCATAAGTCAAACCATCGCAAAAGCAAGGAGCGCCTGTATACGATATTTTTTTTATGTTGGGGTACAAGACTCTTCCCAGTTACCCCCAACAGGCCACCACATCCATCCATCTATCAATCAATCAACTGACCAGGAAGGGTGAACTCTGACAAGGAGTCCAGTGTCCCTCCCCCACCAGCCCCAGTCGAGAAGGAGTCCAAGGAATCCAGAACTTGACTGGAGCCATCGGCTGTGCTGGGGGTGGAGAAACTCTCCAGGGAGTTGAGCGTGCTGATGGAGGAGTTGAAAAAGGGGGAAGGCAGCTGGGGCGATGAAGCAGGTATGTTGGAAGAGTAGGGGGGCCGCAGGCCAACGGCTGTGTTGGGAAGGTTGGTAGGAATGGCACCCTGGACCGGAGAAGACTGGAGAGAAAAGAGGCAGAAATGAGACAAACATAATGAAGAGTTATGGAACCATTTAAAGATTAATCTGACCCTTTTAACTGGGTGAGATTTTATTACGAAAGAAAAATTCAAGACGGGCCTGTTTGAGTTTATTTTGGATTTTAAAGGATCAAAAATAGATCATCATCATCATCAAAATGGGGACATGTGGAGGAGAAGCCTGCGCTGTGACCGGTCGCCGCAGGGCTGAGAATCGCTGCACTAAATTATTCTTTCAGCCTGCGAATAAAAACATTTCATGAGTTTGTAGGACTTTCCCTGGGCGGGACGGCAAACGGACCTGCGCAATGAGGGAACTGGAGGACAGAAGCGAGTAGGAAAGAGCGGGAGAACAGGCAGGGGTCCGATCTACTGTTGGGTGGTCTGTATGGTCTGTATCCAGTGACGGCATAGAGTTGCGTTTTACATGACCTCACCATGCGTTGAGACGTTCAAACCTCCATATCTTTACAGCATTTTTCAGAATCTTTGGGTGTTTTTCAATATGTGTACTTCACCATACAGCCGTTTTACGTCATCCTCCAGCTCCAATATTCAAGAACATAAGTACAGAAGACGGTAAAAAAACCCTGGATGTCATTCTTGCCACATCGGTTGCATCCTCACCAAACAAGAGCAATCCCATGATTCAATGCAATTGTTATTGTCAGGCAAGATGGCAAGATCGGTCTTAACAAGAACACAAGTACGATCTTTGCTTTCCTGGTACTGAGAAAGACCCTTTGTTTGAATGGAATTGAACTATACTGTTCAGCTTAGGTGATAAATGCAGTTACCGAAATTGTCACTCACCCCGCTGACTTCAGCCCCCTTGGGGATGCAGTCCAGCAGGCCATCGATCTCCCCTCCGATGACCTCACACTGCGCCAGGTGCTCCGACACTGGCACAGAGAAGGGCACGCGAGGGGTGCCCTGGTTGGGGCTCTCGGGGGAATCCTGGGGCACCGTGGGGCCCTTGGTGGGAGAGGGAGAGTCGTCGCTGACGGGGATGGGCGTGGCCAGCGGGGCCGGAATGCACTGAACACTGGATATTCCTGCTGAGGGGAGGCGGGAGGGAGAGAGTCGACCAGGACGAGAAGAGACGAGAGGAAGAGCACAAAGAATCAGAATGCAGATGCAAATAATTTAAAATGCCCATAAGAAAAATCACATATAAAACAGGGTACCTGAGCTGATGTCACTTAAAGATTCCAGACCATTAGCAGATATCTGGGGAGAGAAATTGTAAAAACTCTTGAGCATTAGCACCTGGAAATATACAAGATTTCTTTTCCCCGTTGTCTGCAAGTCAGGCCCCCCCCCATCCCCCGTCCCCCTTTACCTCTTCAGTACTGTTGGTGTCCCCATTGCTATCTCCCCCACCTGTGACAGATTCGGCCTGTGAAGAGCCACGGGACATGCATATAAACACATGTGAGCTACATTACCGATCCAAGGACCTGAGGACGGGGAGTGCTGGTACCTGCGTGCGGACATAGGCTTTACGGATCTTCAGGCCCAGTTTAGTGGCGAGCTCCTGGGCCAGATCACTGACCTGCTTGTCCTGTAAAGAAACACCCGCACATGAATATCGATGCATAAGGAATTAATACACATATGTTTACAAAAACATGTTTGGGTGAACTCCTTTAAATATTACATACAAGCGTTACCCAAGTCGCAAAATCCATTAATTCCCATGCAGTCCCACAAAATGGAAAATTTCTGCCAATTTATCAACCCTTATGTGTTGATAAAGGGTCTGCATCTTTCATAAATAAAACACGACCACTTTGGCTGGTAAACTCTGCCCCCCTACTCCATCCCTGTCCTCTCACATGGGGGGCGATGAGCAGGCAGGCTGTCCCACACTCATAAGCCTCCCTCAGTCGGCCCATCTCCTGCAGGCACAGGGTCTTCCTGTACATTGCCCTGCGGCTCCCCTCACAGATAGCCAGGGCGCTCTCGCAATCCTGAAGAGCCCTCTCATAGTCTGTCTGAAAGTGTGAAGGACACAGACATAGTGCTACAACAGAGAACATAAGAACATAAGAACTATACAAACGAGAGGAGGCCATCGAGCTCGCTTGGGGAGAACTTAACTAATAGCTCAGAGTTGTTAAAATCTTATCTAGCTCTGATTTAAAGGAACCCAAGGATTCAGCTTGCACTATGTTATCAGGAAGACTATTACAGACTCTGACTACGCGCGATGTAAATGAGCATCTCCTTAAGTC